GTAATCTGATTACATAATGCACATTACTTGTATTTACTTTACTCGTTACATTAAAAAGTAATCTGATTACGTAATGCACATTACTTGTATTTACTTTACTCGTTACATCAAAAAGTAATCTGATTACGTAATGCACATTACTTGTATTTATTTTACTTGTTACATTAAAAAGTAATCTGATTACATAATGCACATTACTTGTATTTACTTTACTCGTTACATCAAAAAGTAATCTGATTACGTAATGCACATTACTTGTATTTACTTTACTCGTTACATCAAAAAGTAATCTGATTACGTAATGCACATGACTTGTATTTACTTTACTCGTTACATCAAAAAGTAATCTGATTACGTAATGCACATGACTTGTATTTACTTTACTGGTTACATCAAAAAGTAATCTGTTTATGTAATGCACATGACTTGTATTTACTTTACTCGTTACATCAAAAAGAAATCTGATTATGTAATGCACATTTACTTGTAATGCGTTAGATTAACATCAAACCTCCTGACATCAAAATAGTAATCTGACTATTTCAGATGATATTTGAAACAACTAATCGCTGTTTTTTTCACAGTCTGAAAGCATCAATAGATCAGTAGATTACAGTGTGAGCTTCTCTCGCATCTTAACCACGCCCACTGTAGCATTTTTCAAAACTTTGGCGAGAACTGACTGGTGCTGAAACAGGGGGTTTCACGACCCCTTTTAGCGTCATAAAGATTTTTCCATTGTAAAATACACATTTTTGTAGTGCAAAAAAGTTTCATCCTCATAAATGCAACATGAAAATGCTTTATAAATTGAAAAAGTATTTATATATCATGATAGCATTGACGTCTTTATTTTTTGCCAATTAAAAAAAAAATATATATATATATATACTGAGAATCACCATTGAAAAAATGTAAATTAAAAAAAGCCAAAAGTTAAATGCTCAGATGGATTACAGTAATGAGAATGTGTTTAATTATGATGAAAATAATGTCAAAAGTCTTAATGGTCCTAAAATTAGTTTTCCTTAAAACAAAACAAAACTTCTTTTCATATTTTAGGCAAAATGTGAGCAGTTCTGCCAGATTTACTCCGCTATTGCACATGTAATACCGAGAGTGAGCGTTCTAATATTTTAATATTTCACTGTTTGCAACTTCCTAAAGATAAACAGTCAAATCATTCATTAATTTTCGAATGATCTGGGTATACAAGAAGCAAATAAGTAATGGACTTTTCTATCACAGTGCAGACAAAAACAATAAATATTCACATAAAGTAGACCGATATGCTGACAGTCTACATTATTACACATAAATATTTATCATAATTGTCTGCACTGTGGTATAAAATTCATTACACAAAGTTAACTTTTGGTTATGCCTATTATATTTACTGAAGTATTCCCTTATATAGGCACACTTCACCTGTGAGAAGATTGGATATTACACTTATGTATGGTTATGGTATGAAACGACGTCGCTTTGATTCTGATATTGGTGTAAGATCATAGCGCTTATGTTAGGAATTAAATGAGTAACGCATAAACGCACTCATGCTGTGTGTGGTTTTGTGTGACTCGATTCAGAAGTTACATTACTGCAGTGAATGGTTTTACATTGAGTAGGTATCCCAGTTCAGAGAACAAATTTGCTTGTAGTCTCATGAGACACACACACAATCATCCAAATTCTCAGAAATCAGAAATTTCCCAAATTCCTAAAACATGATCAATACAAACATAAAAGGAACCAATACATTCCACATCGATCGGCCAATAAATGTTTTTTTTTTTTTTTATATGTGGGGGGAAATCAGTTTCAAAAAAATATTAGGCTATATATTAAGCTATATATTAGGCTATGTATTTTAAAAACTATATTTCCTCAAGAAAGTGAGTAAAAAAAAAAAAAGTAGTCTAATTTTATTTAAAGAAAAAGCTTTGCTCAGATGGAAATACAGCTGATCATCATCCAGTGCGGACATTATCTCTGGGTCAGCAAGGACTTCCGCTGCCCTTTTTGCAGAAGTGAGTCGATATTTTCCATCAAGACATTTCTTACTTCCCTTTTCAAAATAAAGTTAATATTGTGCTCGACTGCATCATAACTCCGTGTCCCACAGTTACCTCTCAGCATCTATAAATACCAGACCTCAAAGCACTAACAGATTGGATATGGGATAGAAGGTAATATGGAAATATGGATGGAAAAAGTGAACAACGTTAGAGGTGAAATGTTATCTGGAGAATCACGAAACATCAGTTAAACCTTCAGTGAAAAAACAAGAAGATTGTGATCTCTAAAGAAGGGGGGAAAAGTACAGTCTCTTTTCTTCTGAAAATGAAACTGGGGGTTATAGAGCAAAAGAGAAAAAAAATCCCCAAACGGCCATGTTGATTTCGCTTATTCCAGGAAACCCGTTGAGTGTGACACACACACACACACACACACAGGTCGTAGATCACTAAAACTGTGGCTTTTGTCATGTATGACAGGGAATTCGCGTGAGAAAAATACTCCCTGGTAACAAAGTGTGTTTGTTTACATCGGAGACCTCCATCTTAAACATACAGTCATCATCAGCTGTCGCCGTCTGAAAAAAAGTCACATTTTCCGTATTGAGATATTTTGCACTAAATTGCTTAATTTCCATTGGTGAGGATTGTTGATTATAGAACATAATGAGCTGAAACGGTTAATCTGTTCATCGTTTTTACACGGAAAGGAACATTGTGTGTGTAATGACCTTCAAAGATGACTTTCAACATCTAGAAGATGTATATTTGAGATAGTAAAATGAATACATTAGAATTTCTGATTTCTGGAACATCTAATGATTAAATCCCTTTGAAAGCTTCACTTCCCATTCACTGAAACTGCATGGAAAAACAAAGATCATAATAATTAGTGCGTTAATCAGAATTACTCCTTTTGTGTTTAACAGAATAAAGAGAGTCGTGGGATTGGAACAACGTGAGGGTAAAAAAATAATGTTTAGGTCAAATTTCCCTTTAGAAATTAACACAATTGTTGTTGATTAGGCTTTTTCCTTCTAATGCAAAATAATGTTTGACATCATTCCCTTTCCAATGCAAAATGGGTTATAAAAGTAGACTAGAGAATTTTAATGGTATAATACAAAGCCCCGCTCATGAAAATTATTTGTATATTAACAACTCGTTCCCATGACTTACTAAATTGCTTTACTAAATCCTGGCCATGTTGTAATAATCCGTTTTCTTGTTTTAGTACAATATTTATTTCCCCCCGCATGTAGTATTAAGGCGGAAAGGACGAAAAAAAAATATTTCCCAATTTTTTTTGTAGTTGCTAAGTTTAAATACATATTTCAAGCTCCAAAAAAATATTTTTTTTCTTCTCATTATTCACAATTGATCTTCAGGTCTGAAATGTGTGTATATTCAAAAGGGCAAAAATGAGATGAGCTGCATTAGAGAAGATTTTTAGTAAAAAAATGACTTGGTTCCTCACACTACTGATCAAAATGTTTGGGTCGGTAAGATGTTTTAATGAGTCTGACAGAAGTCTCTTCTGCTCACCAAAGCTGCATTTATTTGATCAAAAATACAGTAAAATCAGTAATATTGTGAAATATTATTACAATGTCAAATAACTGTTTTCTATGTGAATATATAGTAAAGTGTAATTTATTCCTGTGATCAAAGCTGAATTTTCAGCATCATTACTCCAGTCTTCAGTGTCACATGATCCTTCAGAAATCACTCTAATATGAGGATTTGATGCTCAGGAAACATTTATGATTATTATCAGTGTTAAACCTTTTTGCAGGATTTTTAAAGAGAAATTCAAAAGAACTGGTGCTTTTTTAACATTATAAAGGTATTTACTGTTTTTGTTCAATTTAATCCGTATTTTAATAAAGCTTTACATAGGAAGAATATCAAATAACACCAAGCAGCAACTTTCCTTCAGCCTTAAACTCTTTATTTATTTATTTGAATTGAAGTTACAATGTTGTCCAGACTTGTTAGATTTCCACAATGAGCTCTCGAGAGGAACTACACCGCCGTTCAATGACTGAGATGACACAGGTTTTTGTTAAAAATGAAACCTCAAACATTTCCTCAAAAATACTTCTCCTCACTCTCTCGTATTGGCACAGCACTGACAGTAAAGTGTGTGAGTGGTCTGAATAAATCAGACGTGAACTTTCTCTTTGAGCCTTGGCAAAAACTAAACACCAACTGGGACCCGAAGACAAGATGATGAAAGAACGATGGTTCCCTGAAACCTAAAAATCACAGTATTAATATTCTCCACATTTCTGAGCAGACAGGAAAGCTGAGGTCCCATTAAATCATTCACCATTATCTCACCGCACGCCGAAAATTATATTAACAACCTTAATATTCAAGCTGCATCCACGATTTTAAACATGTGCCGTATAGAACACAGCAAATAAACTCATCTCATCTACAGGTGAAACTCGAAAAATTACAATATCGTGCAAAAGTTCAGTAATTCAACTTAAAAGGTGAAACTAATATATTATATAGACTCATTACATGCAAAGTGAGATATTTCAAGCCTTTATTTGTTATAATTGTGATGATTATGGCTTACAGCTTATGAAAACCCCAAATTCAAAATTAGAATATTGTGAAAAGGTTTTCATATCTGTAAGCCATAATCATCAACATTATAGCAAATAAAGGCTTGAAATATCTCACTTTGCATGTAATGAGTCTATATAATATATTAGTGTCACCTTTTAAGTTGAATTACTGAACTTTTGCACGATATTCTCATTTTTCGAGTTTCACCTGTACTGATTTCAACTTCCCTGCAACATCTGTGCTGTGATCCTCAAGAAAGCAAGGCAGTCGCGCTCGGGCTTGTGGAGAAGAGAAGGCAGAAACCAAGGCAAAACGGGGCCGATATGTTTTGACTACCACAAACATCTCTGGAACGATATACTCACTAGCATTGAAATGCTCAAAAGGAATGTCTTCAAAAACACGGAGAAAAGGTTCAATCTAAAAAGATATTTGCAAGTCACAGGAATGTCACCACAAGCACTAATCTGATTTGCAGGAATCCGGCACGAACAGCCATTTTAAAGTGGTCGCTTTTTCGGGCATACGTGAAATCAGAGTATTGTTTTTATAAAATTATAACGGCTTGAATTGAAATAAAATGAACAAGACACTTCTACCAATACAGTATGAAATATCAATCTCAGTTTAAATACCCCCCTCCCTGGTCACGTGATCGTCACCCTTTTGGTCCATGATTTTAGTTTTAGTCTTTCGAATCAGATATACGGGACCCGTTTGGCTCATCGAGGGCCGCTGATCTGCACTGCGGTGCGACTCCGATGAGGGGGATACATTGAGCGGCGCTAGATCATTTCGACGTAGTTTGCTGGGAACATCCCGAAATGTCCATCCGGACTGTATCCTCGCCACCAGCCTTCGTCGATCATCTCGATGCCGGTGATGATGTCATCCGGGTCAAACGAGATCTCGGTGTCATCAGCTGAGAACACACACACACACACATTAAGATCAGATTACAGATTAGATTTAATTTTAGTCATTTATAGCATCGGTTCCCAACAGGGGGGTCACGGCCCACAAGGGGGCCTCAGCGAGCTCTGTGGGGGGTCGCGTCATATTTTGAAAAGTTGAGCAAAAAAAAACTCCTTAACAGTCCTTAACTTTTTTTTTTTTAAAGCCCTTAACTTTTTTTTTTTTACCTACACACCAGTGTGAATATTTTTGTTTTTGCATTTCAAATAGGGCCAATATATAGGCTTATCCTAGGCTTACGTTTTTAAATTACAAAGGGCCTACTGATGTTTTTGTTATTGTATTTTCAATATTATAGGCTATTATTTGTGCATAAACATATCTGGTTATAGTAAACATACCGTTTATTTGAAAACAACATATTTTGTCATCCTTGCTGCAAGCTTACAAGAGCGATGATATCATTAAACGTGAAGGGGGGGGGGGGGGCTAAAATATTTTCTTGGCAAAAAGAGGGTCTCAGACAAAAAAAGGTTGGGAACTAGAGGTCTTCACAGTGCACCCGAGACCCGTCGACCCGGGTCTATATTTTAAATGATCAGCCGGGTCGGGTCCGAATCTATTACTTCGGGTCCCGGGTCTGTTTAACATTGTGTGTAATACCCGTGCGATCGGAGTCATCGGACTCGATCAGAGTCAGAATGAGTCAGCAGCACTGCTTGTGTTTTTTTGCAAACTTGTCAAATTAGGTAAAGAAAAGTGTGAGCCAAAAAAAAAAAAAAGAAAGCGATCTCACTCTCTCTTCCGTTAGAAGCAGAGCGCGCAGTCTCAAGCGTGTGTCATGTTTCTATGGCAACCAGAGCTTCCGCCAAACCGCACTTTACATTTTCTCCCATTTTTATAATAATATAAATGAACCGTCTTGTTTAATCTTAAAGTTTTGGTGGTCAGATTCAGACTCAATGCAGAGCAGAGAGCACAGATATGATAGCAAATAAATAACGTCAGCGGCCATGGCACTGAACGAGCAATCGTTATTATAGTTCAAAAGGCCAAACAGTTAAAGTTATTATGCGAGTTAACTCGAGTCAGAATGTACATGTGCAAAGTTGCATTTGTCATCCATCACCGTGACATCAAGTGGACTTTTAAAGGGGTCATATGGTACATGCACTTTTTCAAGTTGATTGTACTGAAATGTGTGTTGGCAGTGCCTGTACACAACCATCATATAATGATAAAAATCCATCCAGTGGTTTTGTTTTAATCTCCTTATATGTTTTCCCCTGCCTCAAATCGAGCCGTTCGACCGTGTGACGTCACACGGTCGGACGCCACTCCCGCGATTGTTGATTGATAGGCGCGTTTCAACACAGACCCGCCCTCGCTCGTCCTGTCAATCATAGTCTGTGCGGATCGGCGCGGTCATTGTTGATATGCTGGAGCACTGTCTATGAGCAGAATGGCTCTAAGCGATTGTGGTGTTCTGTTCTTGGGTGTAATAACGAACACAGCAGTCATTTTAATGTTCCTAAATCCGAACCGCTGAAGACGCAGTGGTTGAGTTTGTTTTCGAAGGGAATATTCCCCACGACCAACGTCAATGCTTTCATGTTTGCGCGAATCATTTCTCACCAGACTGCTTTATAAACGAGGATCAGTGTAAAGCTGGTTTTGCTAAGCAGCTGCTCCTGAATAAAGAATCGGTACCAGATATTCGTGTTCCTGCTGAACCTCTAGAACAACTGAAGTGAGTGTAACGTTTTATTAAACTTTATATTAATATTTATATCTTTGCAAATCGCTTCACGATGAATGAGTCTAAGGTTTACACTCAGGGTACATTACTGCATGTTTTCTATGTACGACGTTCTCCATATAATTCATAATCCCACGTTTATAATGAACAACACGTTATGGTATTGTGTTACAAACGTGTACGCACAGAACAGAGGGGCGGAGTGAGCAAAGCTCATGATCATTTAAAGTCATATGCACTGAAACGGCGTGCTGAAAACAGAGCTGTTTTTGACCAGGTAAAATAAGTGTTTTCTTACAATTCTAATGAGAATTTTTAATTAAAGTATATTAGAAACTTTTAATTTAGACCCTAAAGAATCATATTAGCTTGTACAAAAATGGCATTATATGACCCCTTTAAAGCTGAAATAATGAGTGGATTAAGCTTGGAATTACGAGAGAAATAACATGGATAGAACTTTCTTGTCGGTGGATTAATGCATCACAGTCAGTCAGGTAACGTTAACGTTACAAGGAAGTGAGACGACGGCTACTAAAATTAGGTAAGACAAAAAGTTTTATTTTTCGCAACTTGTGTGAAATAATATGTGACAATCGGGTCCAGTCAGGTTTGTGTCTTCCTGCCGGGTTCGGGTCCAGTTTTCAAATAATAGACGGGTCCAGGTCGGGTCCGGGTAGTACATTTATGGCATTTCTCGGATCTGCACGGGTCCGGGTCCAACTTTTGAAATAATAGACGGGTCCGGGTCGGTTCGGTGTAGCACATTACGGTTCTCTTCCGGTTCGGGCATGAATTTTTGGACCCGTGAAGACCTCTATTGGGAACCACTGATTTAAAGCACTTCAGTTTTGTAGGGCTGTAATCAACCAAACAAAATCTTGGTCGACTGAAGTCCTGAAATTTCGACTAGAAATCGACTAAAAACCCGGAAAAAAACGTTATGTGTTTCTGACGTCACAAACTACCTTGTAACCAATCAGATCAACGCGTGATCGTCAACGAGTGGATCTCTGAGCTGAGTGAGTTAGTGGAGGCGGGGCTTATTTGCATATTCATAGAACCACATAAGCCGCGTTTCCACCGCAATTGCCCGGAACAATTTGTCCCAGGAACTTTTTTCCCAGGAACTTTTTTTGCCCCAGACCGGTAGCTTTCTGCGTTTACATCGCGGTCTAAAGTACCGGGTAAACTGCGCGCGACTGCTCATTGCTTGCTTGTGACGGACAGTAGACTGTAAAAGACAGTAATCAGTTTTGAGCGCCACATTTATAATAAATATGGAAGAGATTCACACTGTGCTGCAGTTGTTTGAGATGTATTGGTTTACTAACCAGGTAATTAACAAAACGGCAGAAAAGAGACGAGCACTGATACTAAAGCGTGTTCAGAAAGCTCGTAATGCTAACGTTAGATCTAAAATTAGACAGCGTATGTTATCAGCTATTGCGGACATTGACCGTGGGAAGGCTGGGACGAACGCGCAGAAAATTTCTCTTACGCAAATACGCTTAATAAAGCCTGAATCTCGTCGTCGGTCCAGCTGCCTTTTTTATTTTTATTAAATTCCATATTTGCAGACAGACAACTCTTACTGCATGGAACTTCATTACTGCATGAAGCCACGAACTGCAATAGATTCTAAAAATTCCGGTTAAAATAAAATGCTGCGCGGAGTTATCCAATAATGCGGCGTGAACACAACCAATCAGCATGTTCAGCGCACAAGCCCCACCCGCGAAAGTTCCTGAACTTTGAAAAAGTACTACCTCGCGAGCAGGGACTTTCGGAGGGGGAAATATCTACCCGGAACTTCATTTAGACCCTGGTTCCTGCGGTGTAAACACACCGAGTACCAGGCCAAAGTTCCTAGTTCCTGGGTAAAGTTCCTGCGGTGGAAACGCGGCTATATACTAAATGAGGCAAGGCATGACGAAAAGTCGTTTAAATATGTCATTTTGGTGATCAAAGAGGAGTTTTAAGGGATACAATTATTGATACAGGGGGGCTTTAATATTTATTTATTTCAGGTCCTAGTTTAGGAACCGTGGTGTTGTGCTGCTTATAATTATCAAGCAGTAAAAACACCCCTTCCTGCCCAAAACAAGGCGTCTGTGGAGGAGAGTCTGAAACAAGGATTGAAAATATGCTGTCCCGCTCCACTTCAATCACAAACACAGAGTGGAAGGAGAATTAGGATTTGGCCAATTCACTCCGTGGTTACATGTGACTTTTAATTCCGACTATGATTACAATCTGGTTATAAGGGTCCATGTAAATGCAGCTTGTTTATCATATTAAAGCAATATTCACCGGCTTGGTAGTCGTACAGAGCCCTGGCGCAGACCCCGCGATCTTCTGCCGTCTCGTACGTTGTGTTCGGTTCCTCCACCTGTGAAAGATTCACAAATAACACAGCACACACACATTCAAATCACATACACTTAGAGCGATAGTTCAGCCAAAAATTTACATTCTGTCATTAATTACTCAGCCTCATCACGTGCCAAACCCCTGACCCGGACGAGTCAAACCCCTGACCCCGACTAGTCAAACCCCTGACCCCGACGAGTCAAACCCCTGACCCGGACGAGTCAAACCCCTGGCCCCGACTAGTCAAACCCCTGACCCGGACGAGTCAAACCCCTGACCCGGACTAGTCAAACCCCTGACCCGGACTAGTCAAACCCCTGACCCGGACTAGTCAAACCCCTGACCCGGACGAGTCAAACCCCTGACCCGACTAGTCAAACCCCTGACCCGGACGAGTCAAACCCCTGACCCGGACGAGTCAAACCCCTGACCCGGACGAGTCAAACCCCTGGCCCCGACTAGTCAAACCCCTGACCCCGACTAGTCAAACCCCTGACCCGGACGAGTCAAACCCCTGACCCCGACTAGTCAAACCCCTGACCCGGACGAGTCAAACCCCTGACCCCGACTAGTCAAACCCCTGACCCCGACTAGTCAAACCCCTGACCCGGACTAGTCAAACCCCTGGCCCCGACTAGTCAAACCCCTGACCCGGACGAGTCAAACCCCTGACCCGGACTAGTCAAACCCCTGACCCGGACGAGTCAAACCCCTGACCCGACTAGTCAAACCCCTGACCCCGACTAGTCAAACCCCTGAGCCCGACTAGTCAAACCCCTGAGCCCGACTAGTCAAACCCCTGACCCGGACTAGTCAAACCCCTGACCCGGACTAGTCAAACCCCTGACCCGGACTAGTCAAACCCCTGGCCCCGACTAGTCAAACCCCTGACCCGGACGAGTCAAACCCCTGACCCGGACTAGTCAAACCCCTGACCCGGACTAGTCAAACCCCTGACCCGGACTAGTCAAACCCCTGGCCCTGACTAGTCAAACCCCTGACCCGGACGAGTCAAACCCCTGACCCGGACTAGTCAAACCCCTGACCCGGACTAGTCAAACCCCTGACCCGGACTAGTCAAACCCCTGGCCCCGACTAGTCAAACCCCTGACCCGGACGAGTCAAACCCCTGACCCGGACGAGTCAAACCCCTGACCCGGACGAGTCAAACCCCTGGCCCCGACTAGTCAAACCCCTGACCCGGACGAGTCAAACCCCTGACCCGGACTAGTCAAACCCCTGACCCAGACGAGTCAAACCCCTGACCCGGACGAGTCAAACCCCTGGCCCCGACTAGTCAAACCCCTGACCCGGACGAGTCAAACCCCTGACCCGACTAGTCAAACCCCTGACCCAGACGAGTCAAACCCCTGACCCCGACTAGTCAAACCCCTGACCCCGACTAGTCAAACCCCTGACCCGGACGAGTCAAACCCCTGACCCCGACTAGTCAAACCCCTGAGCCCGACTAGTCAAACCCCTGACCCCGACGAGTCAAACCCCTGAGCCCGACTAGTCAAACCCCTGACCCCGACTAGTCAAACCCCTGACCCCGACTAGTCAAACCCCTGACCCCGACGAGTCAAACCCCTGACCCGGACGAGTCAAACCCCTGGCCCCGACGAGTCAAACCCCTGACCCGGACGAGTCAAACCCCTGACCCGGACGAGTCAAACCCCTGACCCGGACGAGTCAAACCCCTGGCCCCGACTAGTCAAACCCCTGACCCGGACGAGTCAAACCCCTGACCCGACTAGTCAAACCCCTGACCCAGACGAGTCAAACCCCTGACCCCGACTAGTCAAACCCCTGACCCCGACTAGTCAAACCCCTGACCCGGACTAGTCAAACCCCTGACCCCGACTAGTCAAACCCCTGACCCCGACTAGTCAAACCCCTGACCCGGACGAGTCAAACCCCTGACCCGGACGAGTCAAACCCCTGGCCCCGACCAGTCAAACCCCTGACCCGGACCAGTCAAACCCCTGACCCGGACGAGTCAAACCCCTGGCCCCGACTAGTCAAACCCCTGACCCGGACGAGTCAAACCCCTGACCCGACTAGTCAAACCCCTGACCCAGACGAGTCAAACCCCTGACCCCGACTAGTCAAACCCCTGACCCCGACTAGTCAAACCCCTGACCCGGACTAGTCAAACCCCTGACCCCGACGAGTCAAACCCCTGACCCGGACGAGTCAAACCCCTGGCCCCGACGAGTCAAACCCCTGACCCGGACTAGTCAAACCCCTGACCCGGACGAGTCAAACCCCTGACCCGGACGAGTCAAACCCCTGACCCGACTAGTCAAACCCCTGACCCAGACGAGTCAAACCCCTGACCCCGACTAGTCAAACCCCTGACCCCGACTAGTCAAACCCCTGACCCGGACTAGTCAAACCCCTGACCCCGACGAGTCAAACCCCTGACCCGGACGAGTCAAACCCCTGGCCCCGACGAGTCAAACCCCTGACCCGGACTAGTCAAACCCCTGACCCGGACGAGTCAAACCCCTGACCCGGACGAGTCAAACCCCTGGCCCCGACTAGTCAAACCCCTGACCCGGACGAGTCAAACCCCTGACCCGACTAGTCAAACCCCTGACCCAGACGAGTCAAACCCCTGACCCCGACTAGTCAAACCCCTGACCCCGACTAGTCAAACCCCTGACCCGGACGAGTCAAACCCCTGACCCGGACTAGTCAAACCCCTGACCCGGACTAGTCAAACCCCTGACCCGGACTAGTCAAACCCCTGGCCCCGACTAGTCAAACCCCTGACCCGGACGAGTCAAACCCCTGACCCGGACGAGTCAAACCCCTGACCCGGACGAGTCAAACCCCTGGCCCCGACTAGTCAAACCCCTGACCCGGACTAGTCAAACCCCTGACCCGGACGAGTCAAACCCCTGGCCCCGACTAGTCAAACCCCTGACCTGGACGAGTCAAACCCCTGACCCGACTAGTCAAACCCCTGAGCCCGACGAGTCAAACCCCTGAGCCCGACTAGTCAAACCCCTGACCCCGACTAGTCAAACCCCTGACCCCGACGAGTCAAACCCCTGACCCGGACGAGTCAAACCCCTGACCCGGACGAGTCAAACCCCTGACCCGGACGAGTCAAACCCCTGGCCCCGACTAGTCAAACCCCTGACCCGACTAGTCAAACCCCTGACCAGGACTAGTCAAACCCCTGACCCGGACTAGTCAAACCCCTGACCCCGACGAGTCAAACCCCTGACCCGGACGAGTCAAACCCCTGACCCGGACGAGTCAAACCCCTGACCCGGACCAGTCAAACCCCTGACCCCGACGAGTCAAACCTCTGACCCGGACGAGTCAAACCCCTGGCCCCGACTAGTCAAACCCCTGACCCGGACGAGTCAAACCCCTGACCCGGACTAGTCAAACCCCTGACCCGGACTAGTCAAACCCCTGACCCGGACGAGTCAAACCCCTGACCCGGACTAGTCAAACCCCTGACCCGACTAGTCAAACCCCTGATCCGGACTAGTCAAACCCCTGACCCGGACTAGTCAAACCCCTGACCCGACTAGTCAAACCCCTGACCCGGACGAGTCAAACCCCTGACCCGGACGAGTCAAACCCCTGACCCAGACGAGTCAAACCCCTGGCCCCGACTAGTCAAACCCCTGGCCCCGACTAGTCAAACCCCTGACCCGGACTAGTCAAACCCCTGACCCGACTAGTCAAACCCCTGACCCGACTAGTCAAACCCCTGACCCGGACGAGTCAAACCCCTGACCCGGACTAGTCAAACCCCTGACCCGACTAGTCAAACCCCTGACCCCGACGAGTCAAACCCCTGACCCCGACTAGTCAAACCCCTGACCCGGACTAGTCAAACCGCTGACCCAGACAAGTCAGTTAAGTATAAAAAATAAAATGCATAAATAAATGCAAACATACATGCCTACACATACACAAATAAATAAATAATTAATATGTCCAGCTGATATGTTCTATTGAAGTATCCGTCTCAGTAACAATACTTCATGGGTTCTTCAATGCATTTTTCTTATCTCAATTCACAATAATAATAATAATAATGTAAAATAACACTAAACACTCATATAATAACTTAATATTCACATGTAAGGCTTTGTATCTTCTAGGTTTTACACGTTTTGCTGCTGCTGTTATAATTCAGAAGTGGTTAGTTCTGGTACCTGTGGTGGTTCCTCATAGATGGCATCTGGTTCCACTACTGCTTCATATTGTGGCTGCTTTTGTTCTACAGGCTTTTCATAATTATCACTGACCGCTTGTACATCTGAGATATAAAAGACAAGAGTAATTATTTGCCGTCTCCTGTAACGGCACACCTTCCCCACAAGGTGGTGCTGACATTCAGCCGAGTGAGTGGCAAAAATAAGGGCTGATGATGACAAAATGACATGGAAATGAGACAGCGTAACAGCCAAACAGATGATGGGAGCTCATTGTGTGTGTGTGTGTGTGTGTGTGTGTGTACCCCACCTTCATACTCTGGCTCAGGTTCTGCCTCTGGTTCCACATACTGAGATCTGGGTTGTTCCTCAAAGCTGGCCTCTACTCAAAACACACACACACACACGCATGGAAACACACAGAATCACACACACATGCATGGTAACAAGCACACACTGGATCTGTGTTCTGACACACAGATGGGTAGAGTCAGAGTTTGAGGGCGGTATGACCAACATGTCACTGTACGACTGATGTTTTTAATATCAAAGTAACCATATAGATCACAATATAGTTATTTTACAAGAGATCTTCATCTCATTTGACTGTTTTATTTTTTTATTTGGAGCTTGACAGATGCAAATTGCAAAGTAAAAGATCATATTATTAATTACAGATGTTTGAAATCACACTTGTGATTAAAAAAAGAAAAGAAGGTTTAATCACATGATAATTATGAATTGACAAGCCATATCCAAACCCAAGTGGACTATAATTTTCTGGCACTGCAGAATAAAGATATATAATTTCTACATGTTGCACAGATTATAAATTACTGGTCAAAAGCTTGGGGTCAGTAAATATTTTTTGGGGGAAAGAAATCAATACTTTTATTCAGCAAGGATGTATTCAATTGATTGAAAGTGACAGTAAAAGACATTTATAATACATTTTTCTTTTTTACTTTCTATATCCATCAAAGAATCCTGGATTTTTTTAATACAGTTTCATAAAACTATGAAGCAGCACAACTGTTTTCAACATTGATAATCATAAATGTTTATTGAGCATCAAATCCTCATATTAGAGTGATTTCTGAAGGATCATCACCCAAACTTTAACAGTAGTGTACCATCATAACAGCCAGCCCTAGTTTGAGTCCATTAATCAATTTAAAGGGACAGTTCACAGAGAAATTAAAAGTGTGTCATTATTTACTCACCTTCATGTCATTCCAAAACTATATGAATTTCTTCCATGCAACACAAAAGGAGAATTTCTGAAGAATATTCTGGCCAGTGAAAGAGGACTGAGGCTTCAAGCTCCAAAATAACACACACAAAACTAGCAGCATGCACCATAAAGCATCATAACAATGGTCCATATGACTCGTGCACTATATTCCAAGTCCTTCTTGGCACGCTTGTGGAAAAGTAGCGATGCCTAATTCATGAATCATGACCTAACCATTCTTTTGAGTGTGATCTTTCCAATGAATCGTTTGATCCCATTCACAAAAGCAGCCAAATGATTAATTTTGGTTCTTTAGTTCAACTCACTCAGTCACAGCAATTAACAGCTCCCTCAAGCCTGGGAAGATAATAGACTTACGGCACTTTTCCACTGCGTGGTACGGCTCAGTACGGTTCGGCTCGCTTTAGCTCGGTTCGCTTTTCCACTGCAGTTAGTACCTCTTCAAAGTGGGTGGGATTATAGTCTGACCGTTATAGTTTATCCGCTCCTCGGCAACCAACGAGAGGAACGTCTGCACTTCGTCCACTGACCACGATTCAGCCATTTCTTTTTTGGAAGTTTTTTCTTTCTTTTTTCTTCAAGCAAGCAGTTTTAAAACCGGTGCGAGAGCGGTGTCTGTTACTGGCTATTTAATTCTAGCGGGTTTGATGTCTCGCAAATACAATGACGCTGGTAGTGACGATTCTGTCTGACCAATCAGTGATCTGCAGTGTGTTCACGGCACATTTTAGTAGGGCTGGGTATTGACACAAATTTCACAATTCGATTCAATTTCGATTCACAAGCTTGCAATTCGATTCCGATTCGATTCAATATTGATTATTTTGGATATCAGGTACAATACATGGCACATTTTCTCAAGGAAAAGAAATCTTTTAACTAATGCTGTAAACTATGGGAGTCAGTTGTAGCCTACTAGGCTTCATTAGCCTACTATAATATTGAAGGTAAAAATGAACTGATTTGTACACAAACACTTAAATTACACTCTTATTTATTTTTATAATAATAAAGTTATATGAAATATGAACATTTAAATGGTGGCGGTCATAAAAACTTGCCAGATTTATTCAAACATGCATTAAATATTGAAGAACATTAGAAATGATAATGAATATGTAATATGGTGCATATATTTAGCAAAATGCTCCTCTTTAGAGTGAATTTTTCTAGCTGACTAACGAGTTTATGGTCACATATGGTTTTTCTGAGGTAAATGTGACGTTACATGACATTGTTCACAAGTTGTTTTACTGACGTCTTTCCACGGTTGAAACACTGATTGAGCGATTCCATGTGACATGATATGGATTTCGATAAGTTGTACTCTATCTTTTAACACACTTTCAGACGTTCATTCATGTTTATTTCGCGCTGTAGCTGGTATTATTAAGGCGGAAGAGGAGATCATGTGCGCTCCGCTCTGCTGCTTCTCTTGAGCTGAGCTGAGCCAGAGCGATCTCACGCCACAGCGCCAAAACGGTATTTATGTTTTTGAATTTCGTAAGAAAATGGACGTAATTTGAAATTTGAGACTTTATTTAGTATCAATAGTAACAAAGCACAAAGATTATTGCGATTTATTGGATGGGATGCGCGCTACAATGTTCCATTCATTCATCAAATGAAAACAGGATGACTAATTGATTCTTGAGATTTAAGAATCGATATCGGTTTGTAAAAATAAGAATCGATTAATATCGAGAAATCGATATTTTTTACCCAGCCCTACATTTTAGTATTGGTACGGTACGCTTGGACCATTTAAGGCGAGCCGTACCGTACCATGTGGTGGAAAAGTGCCATTAGGGTACGTTTACATGACAACGATGCAGTAAAAACGGAAACGTTTTTCACGTACAAACGACAACTTTGTCAAAGCGCTTCTTGTTTACAAGGATCCGTGAAAACGACTAAATCGCTGTATTCTTGTAGGGCCCTATCTTGCACCCGGCGCAAATGACTTAGTACACTGACGCATGTATCATTCCTATTTTGCACCCGCGCAAAGCGGGCTTTTCCCTCCACAGACACACGTCGGTTAACTAAGAAATACACTTGCGCTCCCCGGGGCGGTTCAGCGCAAAGAGGAGGCGTGTTCCGGCGCAAACTTTCCCTCATGCTATTTTGCTGTTCTATAAAACAATTGCGCCACTGACCAGAAAAAACCTAGTCTAAAATCAGTGGCGCGTTGCGCATTGTTCATTATGCTATGTTAAGGGCGCATGCTTGGCCATAATCAATGTAGCGTGTGCACAACGCGCATACATGTTGATTCTCTCATCTAAGCAGCAGTTTTCATTTTTGCAAATCATACATTATTACGATAGATAGATAGATAGATAGATAGATAGATAGATAGATAGATAGATAGATAGATAATTTATTATAAAAGCATACATGTAGCTTACACATTTACCCAAATTATCATACGCCTGTTTAACAGAAGTTAATTTGGGTGGGTTTCTCCATCCCCAACGTCACTTCTCTGTGTTTTACGGCCCTGACGAGAATGTTGCTCTCCTCGGCTGTGAACCGCTCCTGGCGCGCGCCTGGCAAATCCGCCGTTATAATAGGAATCCGCTTTAGAACAAGCGCGCCTGCTCTTAAAGGGAATGTGAGATGACGCTCTGATTGGTTTATTTCACGTTACGCCCAAACCACACCTATGAATAATGAAGCTACTTCAGACCAACCCCTTTTAGATTTGCGCCAGGCGCAAGAGGCATTTATCCCGCCGGGAAAATAGCAACAGCGCCGGGATCCGCCCACAAAGTTACTTGCGCTTTGACACTTGCGTTTCAGATCGTTAAAATAGGGCCCGTAATGCGCATGACGTCACCGTTTTCACAAATTCATGTTTTTGTAGTTTACATGTAGATGATAACGGTATTGTTTTCAAAAACCTGCACTATGAAATCTGATCTCAAAAGCTTGCGTTTTCAGGCCCCCAAAACGCCTTTATCGTGTAAATGAATGGCGCATAAAAAGTTCTCAAGTATTTTTTGCTGAAACCGATGTAGTGTAAACGACCCCTCAGGGCCAAATTAGAAAGACCACAAAAAGCCCCGATGGGAGTGTACAGATCTGCGAGCGAATCGCCTGATGCACACATTAAAGAACACAGACGCAGCAGTTCATTTCAATAACGACCCACGCTCATTTGCACTGGGCCACAAACAAGCAGAGGCGGAGATAATCAGGTGCGGGTGATTAACACAGACGCAGCAGAAATAACGTGGCTTGGCAAGCTATATGTTCAGATAACATCTTCTTCAGATAACACGAGTGGAGAATATCCTCTCTCTTTATCACCATCGCAGCATGTCAAGCGCAAAATGGGTTAAGACATGCTTTTTAAAAACATGCATTGCATAATGGTGCAAATACCATTAGACTGACTACTGCAAACCTTATTAAATCACAGTGCATGATGCATGAAGTCTCTCCTCATACATTTAGCATCTGAAAGGGAAACTCCTACAATTGCATATGCAATAAGCCTGTTCACGCCTTTTCATACCTAATATTTCACTGCGTGTCTTTAGTAAATCCTGACAGTAGTTTTTAACGTCAAACGAGTTAGTAAATCTAGCCCTTTTCCCTTCTTGATCTTAATACATCTTACATTTAAATCTATGCGCGCACAAAACCATCAGAATGACTTCAGGAGACTCGAAATCAAATCCTCTGAAGCTTGAATGTGCCTGTCCTTCATTCACTTGCTTTATAATGAAAAGAGTGGCCATGATACTCTTCAAACATTCACCTTTTGTGTGAAGTGAACTGTTCCTTTAAGTCCACAAGGCAAACACACAGCAAGCTGTTCAGACACGCTCACACACTGAAAATCAAATCCAAACCCCTTTGTATTGAGGTGTAAGGTAGAATGATACAGCAAGCATGAGGAAAGTGGTTAGATGTTAGGTGAGAGACATGAAAGCACCACACAAAGAGGCAGAGTGTGTGTGTGTGTGTGTGTGTGTGAGCATGTAGATAGTTAACACACCAAACCTTTCCCAGTGTGAGATAAGTGTGTGTTTATGTACCTCTGGCTTGTAAAGGTGAGGCCTGACGCACAGGAGAGCGAAATGGCTCTGGGTCACATGACTGCTTGGACAGAAAAGGGCTGTTCAACCGCCCTGAGACACACAGAACAGAGAACGACAAAGAGAGAAACCCAAGCTGACAGATGGCTGACGGTGTTAGAGACCACAAACGTTGTTTTAGACAGAAGATCTGCAGGGTGTTTAATGACAGTGTCGAGTTTCAGACAGACGAACGTGGTTGAAATGGCCAGAGAAAAACGGGAGCATGGGAAATACCACAGAACATCCCACATTCAGGAGTTAGCTGTTGCATGCACTGGAAAATACCTCCTATCTGACAGAGAAAACTACATGAAACGTGACCCACATAGCAAAAGTGGAAGCTAAATATAACATGCAAATACTGTGGCATTTAAATAAAACACTTCCTATAGTGTAAATTGTGCTTGTAGAGATCTTATCAAGACAGCGCTGTGCACATTTGAAATCAAGACTGTATTGATTTATTATCCTGCAGAGATATAAAGCTTTATATTTATAACCACTAATCATCTCAGTTTGTATATTCTATATATTTATACAGATTCATTACTATACATATCATTACTAGTTTTTAAATATATAATAATAATAATATACTTATATATATATATATAATATAAATCATACAAATATAAATACATGTCATATAATTAGAGTTATATATTTACAGTTATATTTAAACAGATGTACAACTATATATTAGTAGATATACATTTTAAAAAGTATATAAAAATACATTTTTAATTATATTCAAGCCAAAATTTATTTATACAGTAGTAGTTTAATGACCCTACAAGTTTAATTAAACCATCAAAATATTAGGCAAATATTTTATATATTTTATAACAACAAAACTTTTGTGTTTTGTTCTTGGTTATTGGGTTTATCTGACAACATTATTTGGCAAACTACAGCTACAGGTTTTATTTTACTATGCAAAAAAAGTTCTCTCATTGGTTCTCTCGTTTTTTTATCAGATAAATCATATTTATACAAGCAGATAAATTATATATTTAAAGTTAGATATTTACAGTTATTTATACAAATGTAATACTATATATTATTTGCACTATATACACTGATACAGTTATAAATATATATATACACTGTATATGTAAATACACACTGATATACTTTTAGATGTTACATTTCTTTATTCTCTATATTCTCTTATATTTAAATTACTAGTCTCTCTCTATATATATCTTGTTAAAAGGAGCAAATAAATATATACATACAGTGTATATATATATATATATATATATATATATAGTGTGTATATATATACCTTGTGAGATGTATACAGTGTATGTATATACATATATACACTCACCGGCCACTTTATTAGGTACACCTGTCCAACTGCTCGTTAACACTTAATTTCTAAGCAGCCAATCACATGGCGGCAACTCAGTGCATTTAGGCATGTAGACATGGTCAAGACAATCTCCTGCAGTTCAAACCAAGCATCAGTATGGGGAAGAAAGTTGATTTGAGTGACTTTGAACGTGGCATGATTGTTGGTGCCAGAAGGGCTGGTCTGAGTATTTCAGAAACTGCTAATCTACTGGGATTTTCACGCACTACCATCTCTAGGGTTTACAGAGAATGGTCCGAAAAAGAAAAAACATCTAGTGAGCGGCAGTTCTGTGGGCGGAAATGCCTTGTTGATGCCAGAGGTCAGAGGAGAATGGCCAGACTGGTTCGAGCTGATAGAAGGGCAACAGTGACTGAAATAACCACTCGTTACAACCGAGGTATGCAGCAAAGCATTTGTGAAGCCACAACACGCACAACCTTGAGGCGGATGGGCTACAACAGCAGAAGACCCCACCGGGTACCACTCATCTCCACTACAAATAGGAAAAAGAGGCTACAATTTGCAAGAGCTCACCAAAATTGAACAGTTGAAGACTGGAAAAATGTTGCCTGGTCTGATGAGTCTCGATTTCTGTTGAGACATTCAGATGTTAGAGTCAGAATTTGGCGTAAACAGAATGAGAACATGGAACCATCATGCCTTGTTACCACTGTGCAGGCTGGTGGTGGTGGTGGTGTAATGGTGTGGGGGATGTTTTCCTGGCACACTTTAGGCCCCTTAGTGCCAATTGGGCATCGTTTAAATGCCACGGCCTACCTGAGCATTGTTTCTGACCATGTCCATCCCTTTATGGCCACCATGTACCCATCCTCTGATGGCTACTTCCACCATGTCACAAAGCTCTAATCATTTCAAATTGGTTTCTTGAACATGACAATGAGTTCACTGTACTAAAATGGCCTCCACAGTCACCAGATCTCAACCCAATAGAGCATCTTTGGGATGTGGTGGAACGGGAGATTCGCATCATGGATGTGCAGCCGACAAATCTGCGGCAACTGTGTGATGCCATCATGTCAATATGGACCAAACTCCCTGAGGAATGCTTCCAGCACCTTGTTGAATCTATGCCACGAAGAATTGAGGCAGTTCTGAAGGCAAAAGGGGGTCCAACCCGTTACTAGCATGGGGTACCTAATAAAGTGGCCGGTGAGTGTATATATATGCATGTAGACTAACATTTTTTTACTCATATAGTGTATGCGTGTGTTAGCTTAAGCATGTGAACAGATAAATGGTACCTGGTTTTGGACTGAGTTGAGAGTTGTCTTTGTTAGAAGTGTTGATGCCCATTTCTCTCTGTTTGAACATTTCTCTGGGATTAACGGAGCGCTGGGAAACGAGAGACGCAGCTTCCTGTTACAAATACACACACACAAACATTAACGACTATCATTAACGAGTATCACGACTGATAACACTGATGACAGTACATGGAGAAGATAAGAGCCAGGGATCCAAAGTGGTTATATACTGAAAGTGGAAAACAGGAGAACAGCGAGAGAACTGGGCGAAATCCCAATCTACAAACCACCCATGCTATGGTTTAAGTATGCGTGACTGGCATTATTGCATCCTGGATCTACATAATGTCCAAAATAGCACTTGGGCGGTATAATAGATTCTACATTGCATCATGCATGCTTTTGTGCTAATACAGGTGAAACTCGAAATATTAGAATATCGTGCAAAAGTTCATTTATTTCAGTAATTCAACTTAAAAGGTGAAACTAATATAGACTCATTACATGCAAAGTGAGATATTTCAAGCCTTTATTTGTTATAGTTTTGATGATTATGGCTTACAGCTTATGAAAACCCCAAATTCAAAATTAGAATATTGTGAAAAGGTTTTGCTGTAAGCCATAATCATCAAAATTATAACACATAAAGGCTTGAAATATCTCACTTTGCATGTAATGAGTCTATATAATATATTAGTTTAAGTTGAATTACTGAAATAAATGAACTTTTGCATGATATTCTAATATTTCGAGTTTCACCTGTATTGCCAAAACAAGCATACTGGTTTGCAACATTTCGCTGATTCGATTCGATTGAATAATAAATTGAATGCTTCATTCTACATAAGTGCGTATTTTCCCAAATGTTTTTACAAACTATGTACTGACAAATTAGCATTCGTGGCCGGAACAAACAGGTTTATAAACTGGGATTAAGCCAGAAAAGCTATCAGCCTGTATAAAGAAAGCAGAAAGTCAGAAGTCCTTCAGTCCAGGGCCAGAAGAGATGTTTGATACTTCCTCCCACTCACGTTGGCTTTTTCCACCGACTCTCCACGTTTAAAGGGTTTCTGCTGCGCCTGCTTCTTCTCCTCCTCCTCCTCCTCCTGATGGACAGCAGCACACTTTGACTCTTACATACTTGATTCCGTTACAAAGCCTAGTTTTGAGGTATCATATTTGATTTTGCTGTCTAATAAGATGCTTTCTTCCAAACTTTTGCACGATATTCTAATTTTTCACCTGTAAATGAGGGCTTTGTATCAAAACCTGTTGCGATGCTAACACAGAGAGTATGCTATCGAGGTAGGTAATAATACCAGCCGTGATTTCTGATTTAATCAGCTTGCAGATCGGGCGCTCAGACCTGTGTGAACTGTGAGTCTCCAGTGCATATGGTCAAAACACAAAACCACAGATGCTGCACGTCACATATTTCTGTCACAGCGAATATATTTTGGAAATGTGGTTTGAAGATTATCAATGTGGACATAGAAGTGTTAAGATGCTAACTGAAGAACGGTGGGTTTAGACAACCACACTATGCTGAAAAAAGGGAAGTTGTTGTTGTTGTGGTCATTGAATTATAGACATTGGGCAGGATGACATGCAATTGTAGAATTGTGACTATGATAATGACTGGCTATGGTGTTTATAATAGGGTTGATATATGTGCGTGGCTATTAGTGGGTCGGACTGCTTTATGTTCTCTACATGTGAGATTGACATATAAACACTTTTGGGTGAGTTGCTGTAAAAAGGTCATTACTGCTAGCTACTACATCTTGATACCGGTTACTCTCTCTGAAAAGTAGTGCATTACTAATTACTTTCTAAATCCCTTGTTAACCTCGACCAGCTGAACAACACGAGGATAGACATGAAACTGCTCTTTTAATTCTTTCAAATGAATAGTAAAAAAAATAGCAAAAATGATTCTTGAGGTTACATGAATTTTGATGTTAAATCCACTCTTGTTTTATATTAAATGACAGTTATTAAAGTCCTCCTGTGGTGAAAATCCAGCTTTTAATGTTGTTTATGTGTCTATGTGGTGTTTTTAATATGGTTTAAGGCAAACCATGTGTAAATTCATAAGTCGACAGCATTGCTGAGTATTTTCTGCTTAAAACTGCAGTGAACCAAAGACAGTCTCAAAAACACAGTTTGAAATCGCTGGTGTTTCTGACGTCACAAACGACCTTGTAACCAATCAGATCAACGTGTGATCGTCAACCAGTGGATCTCTGAGCTGAGTGAGTGAGTGGAGGCGGGGCTCATTTGCATATTCATAGAACCGCGTATACTAAATGAGGCAAGGGTGTCGAGTTACATTCAAGATATTTTAAGACATGATTTTTTCAAGAAAAAAAACGTTTAAATCTGTCATTTTGGTGATCAAAGATGATTTTAAGGGGAAAAAATATTTTCTACAGGGGAACTTTAAATACTCAGTAATGCATTACACCCAACACTGCAGATAAACATGGAGTAATGCGAAAATATAAAGCATGACATGTTCCAAATAAGTCGAGGTGAGAAAGAAACCTGTACATTTTGCATTGTTCTCAGAATTAAGATTTCAGATCGATCTGCTCATAAACATCTAGAAAAACGTCCTGCTTTACAATTGATCAAACTTTCTCTTTTTGTCTAAGTTGGTGGATTGTAGTCAGAATAAATCGCTGATCAGATTTGAATGCCTAAAAGTGTTTTCAGAAACAAGAGGTTAGTTAATTCTTCTAAACTTCTCCTCAAATCCTGTTCTAGCTAAAGAGTGGTGGAGGTGTGACATCACTTTTTATAAACGGACTACACCACGGTCCCCCGAAACGAATTCAACACCACCATCACTAAACTTCCAACTCTTTCTATTATTATTATTATTATCTAAAAACATTTTCCTAGAACATTTGAGATTGAATAGCACAATTATAAGCATAAGGATGCTGTAAAAGCGTTTAGCTGTTCGGCGTGATGATGTTTAATCTCCTCGACAGCCTCTGTAGTCGCATTAGCTACTTGTTAGCAACCGCCTTTTTCAAAACACGTAACAGCTTGAAAAAAAAAAAGCTGGTAATAGGTAATATTGATGTATTTTATGTCGTGGAATAAAACGTGAAAGTGTCTTGAGCTTGAGTTCACACAGACCTTATTTCATTTAACCCATTCAAAAAACCCATTGACTTAACCGGAAGTGCTAAAATGCTAACTAAAATGCTGCGTTCTGGCCTACAAAGTGATGTCATACCAGAACCACTATATATTAGTTTGATTTGAAAGTTAATCACCTTTCAACAGTCTCTAGATATTGAAATATCCAAAGAGTGACAAAAGTAGTTCAGTGTGTTTTTGTGCTAGCATGAAGGCTTCAAACATATTGCGGCTTCTCCACAGGAACCATGTCAGAACATGTCCAGAGTGGCGATGTGTGGATTTAAATAACCACACAGGTGTGTGTGTGTGTGTGTGTGTGTGTGAGAGTGTGTGTGCCGCTCACCCACTGCTGTTTCTGCTGGCCTTGATTATCCACGTCCTGCTTCTGTTGGTACTTTCTATTACACAAACACATTTACACTTAGCAGGCGCTATTCAGTTGGCTCGTAACTTTATACTTTATACACTTATAACTTTATATAAGTGCAACATGGTTTGAAATCGAATTGTAAAAATGACCCTAGCTGATCTCATTGATAGTCCACCAAAAAATGAAACTAAACCTGTGTTGTTCTTAACCTGTATGACTTTCTTTCTTCTGCGTGACACAAAAGAACATATTTTGAAGAATGCTGGAAACCAAACAGTTTCGGGTCCCATTGACTTCCATTGTGTTTTTTGTACGGAAGTAAATGGGAACCGAAAATGTTCTTCAAAATATGTTCTTTTGTGTCACCTAGAAGAAAGAAAGTCACACAGGTTTAAATGAGTGAGACGTTTAATTTTTTGGTGGACTATCAATCCACGTTTGTCCTCCACAGAACAAAGAAAGTCATACAGGTTTGGAAGGAGTGAGTAAATGATTTTTGGGTGAACCATCCCTCAAACACACGAGACGTTTGTCTGCGCACACTGACCTGACTTCATCGATCTCTGACGCCCTCTCTTTGGCTTTCTTGTCCCGTAACTCGGCCTCCTTCACCTCTCGGTCCTTCCTTTCTTTTTCCAGCCGCTGCCTCTCATCCGATGCCCTTCTCCTCTCCTCCTGGAGACGCTTCTCCTCGTCTTTCTGAGAAAGAGACAAAAGCATTGAGCTGAACAGAAATAGTTCAAATATAAAAGGCAGAATGAGAATATGGCTGTATGATCATGAAAAAACTAATTATACAGGTGCTGGTCAACGAATTAGAATTATTTTAAATAGTGCAATCATGAAATTCTTTGAATGCATTTTTTGTGCAGAAAGCAAATCAGGTGTTCACCGCACCTGTCCTACTCGTTAGACTAATCACAGAACTCGTTATCTGGAAAAAAATTTGCTCAGCTGAGCTTTCCAAAAGGCCCATTTAGGCCATTTAACTGTGACACTGTTGTTTTATTGAATTAGAATAATGGTGAAAGCGTTTCATTGAATTAGAATAAATGCTCAAATTTTTGTTTTCTGTGAAGAGTGTTCACTGTGCAGTATAAAGTCAGGGTTGAGTAGAATTTCTAAGTTGTAAAATCAATCATGGGTAAGCAGCGCGACCTCTCAACCGGAATAGTGGCTCAAATTCAAGCCCTTCGCCAACAAGGCTTGACCCAAACTAAAATTGCTGAGCAGCTCGGCATCAGCCAGTCTTCCGTCTGCAAAGCTCTCAAGAAAAACTGCAGCAAGCGCACCAACTGTTCCGGCGTCCGAAAAACTTCTGCTCGCGACAACAAGCAGCTGAGAAAGATCGCAGTCAGCAACCGGTTCAAGTCCACTTCCGAGCTCACCGACTTGTGGAACAAGCAGACCGGCGCTGACGTCTCCAGATCAACCACTTACCGTCGTCTGCGCGAACTCGGCTTCAAATCTCGCGTTCCAGCAGTAAAACCGATGCTGAACAAGAAACAAATGGTGAAACGGCTGAAGTGGGCCAAAGAACACGGCGAGTGGACAGCTGAAGACTGGCAGAAAGTGGTCTTCAGTGACGAATCACGCTTCTGCATCTCCTTCGGTGACCAAGGTCCTCGTGTCTGGCGTCGTGGTGGCGAAACCTACAACCACGAGTGCGTGAAAAGATCCGTCAAGTTTCCCCAGAGCGTTATGGTCTGGGGATGCATGTCCGCTCGAGGTGTAGGGAAACTCTGCTTCCTCAAGAAGACTGTCAATGCTGCCGTTTATCAAGATGTTCTGGAAACGTTCCTGATTCCGACTGTTGAGGAACAGTTCGGCGAAGAAGACTTCATATTTCAACAGGATCTTGCACCGGCTCATGCGGCAAAGTCGACCAAAGATTGGTTCACTAAAAAACAGCTTGAAGTTTTGGCATGGCCGGCCAACTCGCCTGACCTCAATGTCATTGAAAGCCTTTGGGCCATCGTCAAGCGGAAAATTCGCGACAGAAAGCCTACTACGCTGGACCAACTGAAGCAGAACATCGCCACTGCCTGGGAAGCTGTGAGTGCGGAAACTTGCGACAAGCTGGTCAAATCAATGCCGCGGAGACTTCAGGCAGTCATACAAGCCAAAGGGGCAGCCACAAAATACTGAGAAAGTGATGATTGTAATTATAATAAAAATTATTGCAATTCAATGAAACGCTTTCACCATTATTCTAATTCAATAAAACAACAGTGTCACAGTTATATGGCCTAAATGGGCCTTTTGGAAAGCTCAGCTGAGCAAATTTTTTTCCAGATAACGAGTTCTGTCATTAGTCTAACGAGTAGGACAGGTGCGGTGAACACCTGATTTGCTTTCTGCACAAAAAATGCATTCAAAGAATTTCATGATTGCACTATTTAAAATAATTCTAATTCGTTGACCAGCACCTGTATGTAAACTAATCTTGATTCTCTAAGCAATATCACAATAATACACAGTGTTTTTGTCCCAAATAGCATGAGTCCAAATGTGATATTGATTTTATACAACAGTTCAATAAATAAGAAGATAATATTTGTTATATTTTAGACACAATTTTGTCTGTTTTGTTATGGTCTCCGTTTTGGCTATGAAAATATTACTTAAAGCCAGAGCAGAACTGTTGTAACAGTGAATGAATGAATTCTCGTTTTGAGCGAATCAATCGTGTGAATGATTCAATGATTCAATGACTCAATCATAAAGAGAGCCATTTACTTCATTGCTGAATGAATCAGACATTTGAACGAATCAAATGAATGACTTGGTCCATTTACCGCCACCTTTTTTTTAATATATCATATTTTGGGGACAGTTTGCCCAAATATGATTTATTTATTTACACTTAGTCTCCATGTCGTTTCAAACCTGTATGGCTTTCTTTGTTGCGGAACATAAAAGAAAATATTTTTTTCAAAGAATTTGGTCTGTAAATATATTTAAATATTAAAATAAAAATAAAAATCACGGCAATTTTAGCCCAAACATTTATGTGTAATAAATTAAATATTTCTTCCTTAAGCTACTCTTTGTAATGTCTATTTGATGCTTTTCTCGTTTTACACAATAATGACTTTAAATGATCTTTTAGGGGGAATTTCTCAGCCATTTTTGATGTGATTAATTAATTGCGTGATGTGCCGATTAATTAGATAAAAAAAAACTTTTAACGCTTGACAGCCCTACGTGAAAATTTAAAAAAGACAAATTCACACCATCAACAACGTTTTTTTTTTTCCCTTTTAAGAAGCTGGATAATAAATTAAAGCCTACCTCGTTTATCGTTAACTGATAATGGATAAAACTGGATAAACGAGGTAGGCGAATTATAGAAATGTGATTTCTAGACTTGGAGAAGTCATGTAAATTAATTTTAAAAAATAATCTACACAGGGACTTATATATATTCTAAAGAATATACATTTTTCTATTAATGACAAACTCAAAAAAATGGGTACGAGTATGGATAAAATATTGGTAAAAATCCATGAGTAAAAAATATTTTGAAAAGATTATATCCTTATCTAGTAAAACATAAACTGGAAAAGTAATGGAGCCTTCAAATATTGGAGTCAAAAAGCTTGAGAATTGCATTAAAATGCTTATTTTGTCTGAGGCAACTGCACAACATACTTTCGCCATGTAAGCTTTACCTCTGCTTGGGCCCAGAAAGTGTCTTTGTTGGTTCTCTTGATTTCAGACATGGCGTTAGTCTTCTGGTAAACAGATCCCTGTATGGAAAAAACAATGATTGGTTAATTATAATAAGTCCAGACGGAATTTTTAAACTTTGCATTCTCTGTGCTGATTTCAGTGGAAAGGTTCTGTGGAATGAAACTGAACATATTAATATATATATATATATATATATATATATATATATATATATATATATATATATATATATATATATATATAAAAATCAGAGCTGAGAGTGACACTCTTATAGCTGAAAGCATAAGCCAAAATATTTAAAGGGATACTTCAGGATTTAGCATTAAGCTTTGTATTAGTAGGAAACCTGTAGTATTTTCAAATTACCGTGCTTTCCACCGTCATATCCCGCTGAGACGAGAGATTTATGTATTTTTTGTCTGGAAAAAATCCTCCGATGATGCAAAAATCGTCACTTTGCGTCATCTGAGGATTTTTTGGCCAGAGGCTAAAGACTACAGTCAGTAGTAGGGGCTGTCCTGCATGTTCTCAACCCGCCCATAGAGGCTGGGATCTCACTCACAGAATGTACACACAGTGTCAGCCATCTTTGTTTGGAAGCTAAGCTAGCAGGCTCTTGTTCTGTGTCGAAAGCCGAGTAGTAGGGGTTACCATCCTCTTTTTCCCGGACATGTCCGACCGTCGATGTCCGGGATTCAGCTTTTGCTTTCTGCAGTCGCCATTCATTGTTTACATGCACACCTTTTGTTTCAATCTAACTGAATTCATTCCGATTGGTGTATCTGAATGTCGTGTTTACATGAACGCTAAACAAGTGATCGGTAGCATTGCTAAGAAAATTCCCGCTCCTCCGTGAGAGATACGAGACCGGTGCGTCTCACAGGTTTCGCTCATCGGTAAACACGCCACCGGCCTCGCGCCGTTCTCCCGCGGCCCTCAGTCTCATCCTGCTCGCCACAGTAAACATGACTCGTGTCGTTCTCCGACGGCCCTCACTCGTCCTGCTCGCCACAGTAAACATGACTCGTGTCGTTCTCCCACGGCCCTCACTCGTCCTGCTCGCCACAGTAAACATGACTCGTGTCGTTCTCCCGCGGCCCTCACTCGTCCTGCTCGCCGCAGTAAACATGACTCGTGTCGTTCTCCCGCGGCCCTCACTCGTCCTGCTCGCCGCAGTAAACATGACTCGTGTCGTTCTCCCACGGCCCTCACTCGTCCTGCTCGCCGCAGTAAACATGACTCGTGTCGTTCTCCCACGGCCCTCACTCGTCCTGCTCGCCCCAGTAAACATGACTCGTGTCGTCCTGCTCGCCGCAGTAAACATGACTCGCGCCGTTCTCCCACGGCCCTCAGTCTCGTCCTGCTCGCCACAGTAAACATGACTCGCGCCGTTCTCCCGCGTCCCTCACTCGTCCTGCTCGCCACAGTAAACATGACTCGTGTCGTTCTCCCGCGGCCCTCACTCGTCCTGCTCGCCGCAGTAAACATGACTCGTGTCGTTCTCTCGCGGCCCTCAATCGTCCTGCTCGCCACAGTAAACATGACTCGTGTCGTTCTCCCGCGGCCCTCACTCGTCCTGCTCGCCACAGTAAACATGACTCGTGTCGTTCTCCCGCGGCCCTCACTCGTCCTGCTCGCCACAGTAAACATGACTCGTGTCGTTCTCCCGCGGCCCTCACTCGTCCTGCTCGCCACAGTAAACATGACTCGTGTCGTTCTCCCGCGGCCCTCACTCGTCCTGCTCGCCGCAGTAAACATGACTCGTGTCGTTCTCCCGCGGCCCTCACTCGTCCTGCTCGCCACAGTAAACATGACTCGTGTCGTTCTCCCGCGGCCCTCACTCGTCCTGCTCGCCACAGTAAACATGACTCGTGCCGTTCTCCCGCGGCCCTCACTCGTCCTGCTCGCCACAGTAAACATGACTCGTGTCGTTCTCCCGCGGCCCTCACTCGTCCTGCTCGCCACAGTAAACATGACTCGTGTCGTTCTCTCGCGGCCCTCAATCGTCCTGCTCGCCACAGTAAACATGACTCGTGTCGTTCTCCCGCGGCCCTCACTCGTCCTGCTCGCCACAGTAAACATGACTCGTGTCGTTCTCCCGCGGCCCTCAATCGTCCTGCTCGCCACAGTAAACATGACTCCCGTCGTTCTCCCGCGTCCCTCACTCGTCCTGCTCGCCCCAGTAAACATGACTCGTGTCGTTCTCCCGCGGCCCTCACTCGTCCTGCTCGCCCCAGTAAACATGACTCGTGTCGTTCTCTCGCGGCCCTCACTCGTCCTGCTCGCCACAGTAAACATGACTCGTGTCGTTCTCCCGCGGCCCTCACTCGTCCTGCTCGCCACAGTAAACATGACTCGCGCCGTTCTCCCACGGCCCTCAGTCTCGTCCTGCTCGCCACAGTAAACATGACTCGCGCCGTTCTCCCGCGGCCCTCACTCGTCCTGCTCGCCACAGTAAACATGACTCGCGCCGTTCTCCCGCGGCCCTCACTCGTCCTGCTCGCCACAGTAAACATGACTCGCGCCGTTCTCCCACGGCCCTCAGTCTCGTCCTGCTCGCCACAGTAAACATGACTCGCGCCGTTCTCCCGCGGCCCTCACTCGTCCTGCTCGCCACAGTAAACATGACTCGCGCCGTTCTCCCGCGGCCCTCAATCGTCCTGCTCGCCACAGTAAACATGACTCGTGTCGTTCTCCCGCGGCCCTCACTCGTCCTGCTCGCCACAGTAAACATGACTCGTGTCGTTCTCCCGCGGCCCTCACTCGTCCTGCTCGCCGCAGTAAACATGACTCGTGTCGTTCTCCCGCGGCCCTCACTCGTCCTGCTCGCCACAGTAAACATGACTCGTGTCGTTCTCCCGCGGCCCTCAATCGTCCTGCTCGCCACAGTAAACATGACTCGTGTCGTTCTCCCGCGGCCCTCACTCGTCCTGCTCGCCACAGTAAACATGACTCGCGCCGTTCTCCCGCGGCCCTCACTCGTCCTGCTCGCCCCAGTAAACATGACTCGTGTTGTTCTCCCGCGGCCCTCACTCGTCCTGCTCGCCCCAGTAAACATGACTCGTGTCGTTCTCTCGCGGCCCTCAATCGTCCTGCTCGCCACAGTAAACATGACTCGTGTCGTTCTCCCGCGGCCCTCACTCGTCCTGCTCGCCCCAGTAAACATGACTCGTGTCGTTCTCTCGCGGCCCTCACTCGTCCTGCTCGCCACAGTAAACATGACTCGTGTCGTTCTCTCGCGGCCCTCAATCGTCCTGCTCGCCACAGTAAACATGACTCGTGTTGTTCTCCCGCGGCCCTCACTCGTCCTGCTCGCCACAGTAAACATGACTCGTGTCGTTCTCTCGCGGCCCTCAATCGTCCTGCTCGCCACAGTAAACATGACTCGTGTCGTTCTCCCGCGGCCCTCACTCGTCCTGCTCGCCCCAGTAAACATGACTCGTGTCGTCCTGCTCGCCACAGTAAACATGACTCGCGTCGTTCTCCCGCGGCCCTCACTCGTCCTGCTCGCCACAGTAAACATGACTCGCGTCGTTCTCCCGCGGCCCTCACTCGTCCTGCTCGCCACAGTAAACATGACTCGCGTCGTTCTCCCGCGGCCCTCACTCGTCCTGCTCGCCACAGTAAACATGACTCGTGTCGTTCTCCCGCGGCCCTCACTCGTCCTGCTCGCCACAGTAAACATGACTCGTGTCGTCCTGCTCGCCACAGTAAACATGACTCGCGTCGTTCTCCCGCGGCCCTCACTCGTCCTGCTCGCCACAGTAAACATGACTCGCGTCGTTCTCCCGCGGCCCTCACTCGTCCTGCTCGCCACAGTAAACATGACTCGCGTCGTTCTCCCGCGGCCCTCACTCGTCCTGCTCGCCACAGTAAACATGACTCGTGTCGTTCTCCCGCGGCCCTCACTCGTCCTGCTCGCCACAGTAAACATGACTCGCGTCGTTCTCCCGCGGCCCTCACTCGTCCTGCTCGCCACAGTAAACATGACTCGCGTCGTTCTCCCGCGGCCCTCACTCGTCCTGCTCGCCACAGTAAACATGACTCGCGTCGTTCTCCCGCGGCCCTCACTCGTCCTGCTCGCCACAGTAAACATGACTCGTGTCGTTCTCCCGCGGCCCTCACTCGTCCTGCTCGCCACAGTAAACATGACTCGTGTCGTTCTCCCGCGGCCCTCACTCGTCCTGCTCGCCACAGTAAACATGACTCGCGCCGTTCTCCCACGGCCCTCAGTCTCGTCCTGCTCGCCACAGTAAACATGACTCGCGCCGTTCTCCCGTGGCCCTCACTCGTCCTGCTCGCCACAGTAAACATGACTCGTGTCGTTCTCTCGCGGCCCTCACTCGTCCTGCTCGCCACAGTAAACATGACTCGTGTCGTTCTCCCGCGGCCCTCACTCGTCCTGCTCGCCACAGTAAACATGACTCGTGCCGTTCTCCCGCGGCCCTCACTCGTCCTGCTCGCCACAGTAAACATGACTCGCGTCGTTCTCCCGCGGCCCTCACTCGTCCTGCTCGCCACAGTAAACATGACTCGTGTCGTTCTCCCGCGGCCCTCACTCGTCCTGCTCGCCACAGTAAACATGACTCGCGTCGTTCTCCCGCGGCCCTCACTCGTCCTGCTCGCCACAGTAAACATGACTCGCGTCGTTCTCCCGTGGCCCTCACTCGTCCTGCTCGCCACAGTAAACATGATGAATGGCGACAGTAGAACGCAAAAGCCGAATCCCGGAAATTTTGGGCGATCTCGAAACACATTTTCGGGCAGACTCATCACGGAGACTCACTAGTAGCCTAGACTTGTTGTTTAACTACTACGCTCTGTTACCGGTAGGCGTGGCCTCCTAGGGCAGCGAAGCAAGTGCATTCTGGGAGTTGTTGTCTTTCATCCACATAAGCCAAAAATACATTTTCTGGCTTTTCTCAGTCTAGAAAGCTCCAAATTCAAAAATAATTTCACATTTCTTCTAGATAAATGACCCATTTTAAATACACATTCATCTTTCCAGAGGTGAAATATCCCTTTAATAAGCATGCATATGAGGTGGGGGGGATCTCTCACAGCTTCTGCAGGGGTTAAAACAAAAGCAAGACTAACAATACATTAAAAAGAGGTTTACTCATTCCCAATGTACTGTAGATAAGAGTTTGTGGGTTCATTTGGAGCTCAGCAGAGAAATGATTTCAAACCACCACAACAGTTTTCACATTCCCAGCGTTCTGGCTCCCTCCCTGTGAAACTCCTGACACAGCACTGTGAAAGAGCGCTTGAGATAAACATGCAGCGGGCTGGCACTGACCCGGACACCACTGGGCCATCACAAGACCTGTCTGATGCCTTCTGCTTAGGGGTGCACGATAGAACAGCCACCGTATCGGTATCGGCCGATATCTTGAAGCCGATAAATAACGCATTATTTCCTTCAGCTCAGACACTTCAGATGTGCACTGTTCAACAGGATGGTTTTGAGTTGCTTGAAATATGATTGAAATCACTTCAATAAAAGGCAAATAAAGCTCAGCGCATCATGTGCACCAATTTTTCATATACTGTAGGCTACATAAAATTAAAATAAGAATATTTTAAATTGTGCGTTTAGAATTTAATGTTTTTTTGTTTGTTTTTGTAATGAGGCTCTCAAAAATTATATAAAAATTTGGATTTAGATTCATCAGCCAATATATCGGTTATCGGCTTTCAAATATAAAGAATTATCGGTATCAGCCAAAATGTTCATATCGGTGCATCCCTACTTGAGCTGACAACTAAACTAAATGATTACATGCACTCATGGGTCAATGTTAATAATGTTACTCTTAACTATGTTGCACCAAAAACTGCTTTACTAAAAGGCTATTTCCTCTCTGACCGCTGGTATTAAACAGGCTGTCTGCTACTGTACCTTTAAGACTTCTGTATTCAAATGACCTCTGTTATGATTAGATTAAAATGTTTTTAAAAGATGTCTCTTCTGCTCAACAAGAGAGCATTTAATTGATCAGAAACACAGTAAAAACAGTAATATTGTGAATATCAATACAATTTAAAATTAGTGCTGTCACGATACTGGAATTTCAAATTTCGATACAATACCTTCAAAAATATTGATATTTGATATTTTCGATACCACGGGGAAAACAGTGTAAAATAACACTGGATATTCTTCAATGTAAAAATTAAATACAACTTTATGCTTACAATTAAATTTACAAAAGTTATTCAGTCAAGATCAGTGGGTAATATTCTCGATGTCGTTTGTTCTTTGATTAACATGACAGACGGCAGCAGGATTATTAGGCTGCTGTCACTTTAAGAGCTTATGCACGGATCCAATATACTGATACACTGAGTTTTCTTAACTATTTATGTTCCAAAACTGACTGTATTTACCGGAATACTTGCCAAGACAGACATTTGACATAGTTTTGTATGTATTTGACCATTTAGGAGCAATAAGCGATGAAAAAGAACTCAGTTTGGTTCTCGCAATCTGTTGGAGAGGCGACTTTATGACAGCAACACTTATATCAGTGTGTGGCTTTTGGTGTTTGCACGAAACCTGCAGGAAGGAGTACAATTTTGCACAATACAGCACCATTCAACCGGAGCAAATGAGACAATAGAGTGAGAAGAGGCGGGTGTGTGTCAATGCGCAGCTGCTATTACTGATACTAGCAATATCGATACTGCAGAAAAGGAGTATTGGAACCCTTTCAGATATTTCAGTATCGATACATTTCGAAATATCAATATTTTTGACAACACCATTTAAAAGAACCATTTTCAATGTGAATATATTGTAAAATGTAATTTATTCCTGTTATCTAAGCTGAATTTTCAGCATTATTACTCTTCAGAGTCACATGATCCTTGAACATTATTAATGTCTGTACTGTCACCTTTGATTCATTTAATGTGTCCTTGCTGAATAAAAGTATTACTTGCTTTTAAAAAAAAATCTTGCTGAGCCCAAACTTTTGAACAGTAGTATACGCATGTTGTAGGACTGGAAATAAAAGCTGCACTGGACGGTGCTCTGGTGCATGATGTGCGTGACACTGACCACAGGCCCCTGCGGCCCGGCGTCTCTGAAGCGATTGGTCTCTTTGTGAAAGCTGTAGTTGGCTCCTGAGGCTTTAGCCACTTTCTGCATGATGGCGTCAGGCTCCGCGTCCTCCTCCCCTCGTGCATTTATCGTCACGTGAGCTCCCTGCAGACACAGAGCCATCAGTTTAGTCCCACACACAAAACACGTTTTCAATACTCGATTAGAACATGCGTATGAAACCATCAGATGCAAGCGTCAAAATTCACAGTCTGGTTTCAAACGAAACATACCCACGTACACACTCTCGTCAGCTTATCAGCAACCTTTGGCTGTGTGTATGAAAATAAACACAGCTAGCTTAGATAGACTACATTTTCTATGTTCTAAATGCCTCCTATGTTGCATCTTATGTTGCATCTTAAAGGGACAATGTGTACTTTATGTATTTTATTATTTAAAATCAATATTTTTATTCATAAATATGTCCTCAATGGTGTACAAATACCTCTGCCAATTATCTGACTTATCCTAGTAAACGAAGAATTTATTATCTTTAAATTAATTACAGTCTTAATTACAAGCTTTTTTTCATTGTTTGGTTGTGTACTTTATTTTATAGTGTAAGACTGGAAAACTGGTTATAGGGAACGACCACTTCTTGAGAAGACAAAGAACCCACTGCATAGTAGCATTTGGGCTCACTCTTGTGAAGGCCCCATCGGAGACTAGAGGTCTCACCTCTGAATCATCCTAATCTACATTTCTTCCCCTCATCCCCCACTCCTTCCCCTTCATGCAGATCACCTGAAACTCATTTAAGAATATATGTATGGTTTGATGTGAATGATTTTCATTGAGTATTATGTTTGGTATCATTTGAAATGTCTCAAGAATGAGTGGTACAAATGTCTCATTCCCAAAGTATAAAACAAAAGGTAATAAGGTTTTTTAGAAGTTTAGAGAAACTGGCACACAAAGAAAGGTGGACAAATGGTCTCCACGCCCCCACCCAAGAGGTGTAACCTCTGAATGGAAATTACCATTGTAAGGAAGTTCTGGCTATTTAATGGAAGGCAGCAAGGGGTTCGGAGCTCTTTCTGTATCTCAGATAGCCCGTGGATGCTGAGTCGCCGAGACTCAGCATTCATGTATTTCATGTTGGGTAAAAGATTTTCCTCTTTGTTCTAGAACATTTGATGATTTGCATTGATTATCTATCAATTGATTATGGAATTGTTATAATACATTTACCTGACATAATAAATTGTTATATTTGATTATTCTAACAGACTTTGACTTTATTTTCATTGGAGTTAAAAGGAATAGTCAAACATTAACGTATACTTAATGATGCACATCATTGAAAAACACTTTCATTTTATGGAGTCAGATGAAACGAGTTAATACATAAGAAAAAATGTATTGTATTTAGTTAAAAATCTCCTTGCCATGGGAAAAGACGGAACACGCGTTGAGACCTTCACCGCTAATTTGAATGCCGCCATTGGATCAAATTAGACGGACTTACAATAGACAGATGAACATTTATAGTTAAAAGTTGATGATGATATCTAACAATGCACGTACTTCAGAAAATATAATGAATAAAGGCATAACTACTTATTACAATTCATGTTTTTCACAGTCAGTAATTCATACTGTAACATTCGTTTAATAATAATAATAATAATTCATTACATTTATTTAGCGCTTTTCTAGGCACTCAAAGCGCTTCACATGGAAGGGGGAATCTCCTCAACCACCACCAATGTGCAGCATCCACTTGGATGATGCGACGGCAGCCATATTGCGCCAGAACGCTCACCACACACCAGCTTACTGGTGGAGAGAGTGATGAAGCCAATCAGTGTATATATATATATATGGGGATTATTAGGAGGCCATGATGGACAGAGGCCACTGGGCAAATTTGGCCAGGATGCCGGGGTTACAGCCCTACTCTTTCGAAAGACATCCTGGGATTTTTAATGACCACAGAGAGTCGGGACCTCAGTTTAACGTCTCATCTGAAGGACGGTGCTCTTTGACAGTATAGTGTCCCCGTCACTATACTGGGGCGTTAGGACCCACACAGACCACAGGGTGAGCACCCCCTGCTGGCCTCACTAACACCTCTTCCAGCAGCAACCTTGTTTGTTTTTTCAGGAGGTCTCCCATCCAGGTACTGACCAGGCTCAGCCCTGCTTAGCTTCAGTGGGCAACCAGTCTTGGGCTACAGGGTGATATGGCTGTTTGTTCGTTGTGTCAAGTTGCTGTTTGTTTGAAATAACAAACCTGTTCACCGAAGCAACACTCAACGAAGTGCTATTAGAAGACATCCTGTCATAGCTTTTTGGTACATAATGGCTACTGTAGATGCAACGCGTATTTGAAAAAGCGAGGCGCTGGAGAGCACAATTCGTTTGAATGCAAAATACATTTTCATCGCTAGATGGGAGAAATTCCTACACAATGTCCCTTTAAATGCCTCCTATGTTGCATCTTATGTCGCATCTCATATTGCATCTTAAATGCCTTCTATGTTGCATCTTATGTCGCATCTTAAATGCCTCCTATGTTGCATCTTATGTCGCATCTCATATTGCATCTTAAATGCCTTCTATGTTGCATCTTATGTCGCATCTTAAATGCCTCCTATGTTGCATCTTATGTCGCATCTTAAATGCCTCCTATGTCGCATCTTATGTCGCATCTTAAATGCCTCCTATGTTGCATCTTATGTCGCATCTCATATTGCATCTTAAATGCCTTCTATGTTGCATCTTATGTCGCATCTTAAATGCCTCCTATGTCGCATCTTATGTCGCATCTTAAATGCCTCCTATGTTGCATCTTATGTCGCATCTTATGTCGCATCTTAAATGCCTCCTATGTTCCATCTTATGTCGCATCTTATGTCGCATCTTAAATGCCTCCTATGTTCCATCTTATGTTGCATTTTATGTTGCATTTTAAATGCATCTTATGTCGCATCTTATGTCGCAGTCGCATCTTATGTCGCATCTTATGTCGCATCTTATGTCGCATCTTATGTCGCATCTTATGTCGCATCTTAAATGCCTCCTATGTTCCATCTTATGTCGCATCTTATGTCGCATCTTAAATGCCTCCTATGTTCCATCTTATGTCGCATCTTATGTCGCATCTTAAATGCCTCCTATGTTCCATCTTATGTTGCATTTTATGTTGCATTTTAAATGCATCTTATGTCGCATCTTATGTCGCAGTCGCATCTTATGTCGCATCTTATGTCGCATCTTATGTCGCATCTTATGTCGCATCTTAAATGCCTCCTATGTTCCATCTTATGTCGCATCTTATGTCGCATCTTAAATGCCTCCTATGTTCCATCTTATGTCGCATCTTATGTCGCATCTTAAATGCCTCCTATGTTCCATCTTATGTTGCATTTTATGTTGCATTTTAAATGCATCTTATGTCGCATCTTATGTCGCAGTCGCATCTTATGTCGCATCTTATGTCGCATCTTATGTCGCATCTTATGTCGCATCTTATGTCGCATCTTAAATGCCTCCTATGTTGCTTCTTATGTTGCATCTTAAATGCCACTTATGCTGCATCATATATTTAATTTAAAATTTATTTTTTGACTTCGTAATTTTTTTCATTAAAATGTCATAGCTGGATATTCCATTCAAAACAACACTGGACAATACTCTCTGTTGACGCATGTCGGACTTCAATTATTTAGACCCGCTTAAAAGCATATTCCATCAATGAACAACCCCGGAGCTCACAGTAGGTCTGTCTCTACAGGTTCACAGTCCTCCTTTGAAAGTTATCATTAAAAACCAGTTCCCCCATGGAAAAAATAAATTGAGTTTTTACTTCCACAATGTGACTATTGCACTCTATTGACTGCAAGCTCACATTCAGATCTCCCTCCATCCAACCAACAGCTGATGGATAGAACCATGTCACTAAAACTGATACAAATGCCCTCAAAAGTCAAAATATGAAAAATGCCTGTTCTTGTTCCTGTTTTATATTTATAACATGATATAATTAAGCAATATCACACAAGCAAGAGTGACATTTTTCAGATATAAGCACAATTGCAAATGTGATGTTGATTTCTTACAGAAGTTCAGTAAACAAAGTTAACATTAAGTGACTTACATTTTAGACAAAATATTGTTCGTATTTTGCCAATTTAAAATAGATTCAAACAAATCACATTAGAACCGTTGCGCGTCTCTTAGCAGCAGACAGTGGTGTTTCATTACTGAATTAATCCATGTTGAGTGAATTATTCAATGACCTATTGTTAATACAATGACAATTCGAAGAATATGGGTGACCAAACAGATGATGAACCCCATTGACCTCCATAATATGGAGAAAAAAACAATACTATGGAAGTCAATGGGGTCCAACAACACTGTCTGGTTACCAACATTCTTCAAAATATCTTCTTTTGTGTTCAGCAGAAGAAAGAAATTTATACAGGTTTGGAACATTATGAGGGTGAGTAAATGATGACAGAATTTCATTTTTGGGTGAACAATACCTTAAAGACCTACAGGCAGTTTTAGTTTTACATTTTTAAAATATAATTAAATGTAATTTTTCTATTTAAAAATTAACACAAAAAATAAGCAAATGTAAATCAGAGTGTAATGCCTCTGAACTGTAAAGTAAAACTTGAAATAAGTGTGTAAATCCAATGCCACTTTAGATGTACGTAGCCTTCTGTACCACCTTTTGTTGATACTAATTTCATTTGGTAACAGCCCTATAGTGTATTATTACTCTAATTGAAATGATTAAATTTAAGAATTTGACATAAAGGATGATACATATTTAATAACGCAAAATAACGCAGGGGTCCTTATAATGGTAAAAATGACCCTAGAAACCAATTTAAGTGGGCAAAAAAACACCCCTTAAAGTGAATTTCTGCTGTAAATGTTGAACCAGCCATGAGACTTTCAGATAGTGAGAGCTTGTGGTCTGATGTTGTCAAGCTCTGAATAACTACTACCAGCTAAGCCAAATCAAATGTGTCACTCTAGATATAGCCCATGATGTCATATCCTGTAGTGAGCCTCTTACCTGCTCGTCACTGAAGTTCATGGATCATTAACTCAACCGCACTATTCACTAGGTGTGTAACGGTTCTGATAGCTCACGGTTCGGTTTGTATCACGGTTTTAGGGTCACAGTTTCAGTACGATTCTGTATGCGTTATAGGCTCAGGACTACTGTCAAATAAAAATAAAGCGCAAAGATACACATGAAATAAGTTTTTCATGTAGATCTAACAGTATTTTTCAGGTACAGAAATTGAATCAAATGTAAAATAACACTGCATAGTCTGTTTAACTAACATGTATTATTCCTTATTAAAGGCATAGTTCGCCCAAAAATTCCTCACCCTCATGCCGCTCAAAACCCGTAAAACTTTCATTCATTTTCAGGACACAAATTAAGATTTTTTGATGAAATCTGAGAGATTTCTGTCCCTCCATTGACGGCTACGCAACTACCACTTTGACGCTTAAAAAAGGTTCATAAAGACATTGTAAAACTAATCCATATGAATTTTTACCATTACACCAAAACTATTCACAATACCCTTCTTTTCAGTTGTGTTGGGTATTGTGAATAGTTTTGGTGTAACGGTGACCAATATAAATAACAAAATAGCCAAGTTACCTTAAGAAAGTTAGCCATGGAGCTCACATGGTTCGCACACTGGCCTTTTCTGGCGTCTTTAACGCCCTCACCGGTCTGAAAGAAGAAATGCACAAAAAGAAATGTCGTAAACATGCAAATTATGGGTGGCCGATGACCAAAATATTATGTAATTATACATCACGGTTATGGCATACATACCAATTTTATTTTATTTTTTTTGCAGGAAACTCAATGAAAAATAGTTTGTATAATCAAATAACCAAGTGGCAATGCCTATTTTAAAGCTGCAGTCCGGAACTTTTCCTCTTTGTCGCAATCTCTCTGTTCGAAATCTGTAACTGCAGTGATTCGCGGAATTATTATCTTTACGTGGGTTGTAAATCGGCATGAAACAGCGCGGATGAACACAGTGCTTTGAGGCGAGTGCTGCTGTCAGTCACCGCGCTGTGTGGATATAATGTCATACAGAATCACAGATTCACTTTTTGAAAGTTTGACCAACATAAGAATTTTCATAAGAAAATGTCTTCTGAACAAGTAAGTAAAATCCATTTTTGTTCTGACCAACTAAGGGGGAAAAAGCATTCGACATGATAAGCTTCGTTAGATTTAATCAACGCGATTTACAGCAACCGTGCAAATTATAGCCTACTTTGTTCTCAAATTGTTCATGTTAACAACATCAGCATTGCGTGACTAATGTTAAATTTAATGTGTTTTATGGTTACCTGTGTAGTTCAGATTCTCCATAATAGCAAAACGAGAAAGGCACAACAAAGGAAACTCCATAACTGTGTGAATTAAGAAAACGTACTGTTACACGATTGAACTATTGAAATGTCTTACTTGTTCAGCAGAAAAAAAGCCGTCTCTTCTTCCGTTTTGAACCCCTTCAAAACACGGAGTTCAAGCACTTTTCAAAAGCACCGCCGATGTTTAAATCCTTGTGTTCGCATGAGACGGTTTCTTTCTCTTTCTCTAGCCACCTTAAATCCGAAGTACGAAGTCTTTTGGGTTTTATAACTGCTGAATCTCCAGTTGACACTGATGATTGTTGTTTGGATCTTTCTGGATGCCATAAGTTTAATTATGTAAAGTGCTGCGAGAAAAGCCTATACATCTAAACATCTCGTCACGCGCAGTATAGCCGGCTAGCCGAAACTCCTTCTTTATGTGTACGGGTGTGACGTAATGACGCAAAGACATGCTCGAATTTCCCGCGGAAACCCACCAGTACCACTGGAATTAAAATAATTATTACAAGCTAACCGTTTTGAATCTAGCTATGGCAAGCAGATAGTTTTGACCACTGGCAGAATAAGTTTTTTTTTTAATATAATTATTTTGGATTATTTTTAACTTAAAAAAGTTACGGACTGGAGCTTTAAGATAATTCAGTGGATGGATCAAATATGCCATCAAACTGTCCAGTCCTGATGAATTTTTGTATTGGATTTGGTGAGTAGGAGATAAAACTGATTCATAAATACATTTGACAGAGGTGCTTTACTGCAGCAACTGGGTCAGATAATCCCAAGGGCATCTTTGCGGTTATACAGACCGGAAACCGTGTGAAGAGTTAGAGAGGGAAGGAAACTCACCCAGTTGATGAGGACGTATTTGGGAAGGCCAGAGTTGGGGTCTTGAACTCGGCAAAAAGCATACATCACCTTCCCACTGTTCAGCTCCTCGAACAACTCCTCCAAACCACCATCTGAAAATCACACACTTCTGCGGTCAAATCGTTTCAGTCATTCAATATAAATGATAAATATGAATCTGACTGGATGAGCCAGTTCCACCACCCTTTGCATTCATACAATACAATACAATACACATGATGTTATGCAGACTTTTGTAAAATAAACCTAGCCTATTTTCCACATCTCACACAAACTTTATGGAAAGAATTTGGTTGAATACCATGAATATGCCTATTGATGAACCATTGCAGCATGAAAAAATTATCTTTTTCATCTAAAAGTCAAAGTTTATCCAAGTAAAAGGATTATATTTTGTTTGAAAACATTCCAGATTAATATTAATGTTGTTTTCAAGGTGATCTGTTTCTAGACATTTCATAATAAATTTGGACTGTCACGAGTTGAAATAAAAGTGTTCTTATAAATTTCATATAATGACATTTCAACAAAATTTCTCATGAATATTGAAAGAAATATTTTTCTCTTGCATCAAAATGTTTATGTTATTAATGAAAAATCTCTCAATTATTTTGAATAAAAAGAGATTAACATGGTAATAACACTAACGTTCAAATATCAGACTAACGTCTGATACGCTGCAATATTATAAGCTTATAAACAGACTCTGGACTGCAAAAATCATATGCATATTTTGCATGCATTATAAGAGTAAAAATCAAATTAAAATAAAAACCAGCACCCTTTGACCAGGTCTTCCCAAACTGGGGTTCGAGACACTGCAGGGGGTTTTGAGTCGAAAACTTAATAATAAATGTAAAATTAAAGTAAATAATTTTACACAAAACAGATAAAAAATAAAGCACTTTCTAAAAATGCACTTTATATGTTCGTCTGCATGTCTATTCACTGACATTAGAGTGCCATGAACATGCAAATGTGTTGCTAAATTATTAAAATATTAACTGAAAATTCATATCAAACAGCTTGTAATATTATATTAGTACAAGTAGTGCATTACCTTGTAAGGAATATTTGTTCTCTTTTTATTGATTATTGGAGCCTTTTATCATTACGGTTTCAGTTGTTTTATAAACACAGTAAACCGATATTACCACATAACTCCCTTTTACCATAGTTAACATCGATGTTTATTCACAGGAGCTTCTCACATATCGAAAGAGCTTCTTGTAGGAAGACAGATGTTCAGATGAATCTTGGCCTGTCCTTGACAGTCTGTCAGTTCACTGCACCGTTCATGTGATTCATTCCCAGAACACACTGTACAGTGCAAAACAAGTCTGCGAGCTAGAGACGGACTTGAGCTGATACTGTGTGCTTGAAACACTGTTTTATATCCGACATAGCACATGATTCTAGTGTGAATAACCAACTCGTTGATCGTGTCTCCACACTATAACGGTAGTGTTATCGTGTAAACCCACCTCCTTTCTCCGCCAGCCGGATGTCATTTGTGTTTCCCTCATAGGTGAAGAGAGCCCTGCAGACACACAAGTGCACAGGCAATGCATTAAATAAAGACTAGGGGTGTAACGATACACGTATTCGTATTGAACCGTTCGGTACGAGGCTTTCGTTCGGTACGCATTACAAACCGAACCACCATTTTTCCTGCCGACCAAAAACAACCACAACGTCGCGCGACATCAAATGGCAAACATAATGAAAGCGGAACGAAACTCACTATTTTGTGCTTCACGGACCGTTTATCAGTCAAACGCATTTGAATTCGCCACTGAAGTAATAACATCGCTGCGAGATCTAGTGAGAAACATTCACATTTCTCCGTTATTAACGGATCAAACAGCGCTGACGTGGAAACCAGGAGAAACATTGTTCCATGAATGAACTAGTCATAGGCTTTAAGTTCACAGATCAGCAACATTCACCATGGATATACTGTAGTAACACTCACTGTAACCATGGGAGTTTGGCAGAAATAGTGAAATGCTTTCAATTATATCAAACATCTTTTCCCAGCACTTCAAAACTCAAATATTATATTATTTGCTCATCTTTCAAAGATTACCCCCATTTATAAAACTAAAAGTTTCAAGATGTAGGAACTCAAACTTATTTAAAAATATTTTTTCTTTTAATAAATAGGAAATTTCTCTGGCATTTCTTTCTTTTTGCTGTACCGAACCGTGACACCACTGTATCGTATCGAACCGAACCTTGAATTTTGTGAACCGTTACACCCCTAATAAAGAAGACCCAGACATATTTCAAGCAAATTCGAACAAAATAGGCCAAAACTAGTTTGTTTGGTGTCCGAAACAGCTTGCCTTTCTGGGAAAGTTCACTCTGGCTGATAAACACCTTTCTAATCGAAAGCGACACCGTCACGGTTCTTAGTACTGTAAAAGCTGCTTGATTTAAAGCCGTCTAGTGGATAGTGCAATAAATAAACGTTATGCGACTTAAATAACAAAATAAAGAAATTATAAACTCAAATCAAAATGACAAAACCACAATAAAATCACTTAAACTTTAAAATACAAAAAAATAAAATGAATTCAAAATATCCCAATGATATATCGGCCACCATATCGGTATCGGCCGATATATGATAATTAATAAAGAAAATGTGTCTGATATATTAAAACCGATGAATAATGGATTATTTCATTCAGCGGAGACACTTCAGATGGTTTTGAATTGCTTGAAATATGATTGAAATCACTTAAAAACAGGAAAATACAGTTCAGTGCAACAAGTGCAGCGCAAATCTGTCGTATCGGCTACATAAAATTATCATGAGAATGTTATAATTGTGTGTTTTGGACATGGCTTTTAATGGTGAGACTTTTGTTTTTGTAATCACTCAGGCTCTCAAAAATTATATAAAAATTTGGATTTAGATTTATCGGCCAATATATCGGTTATCGGCTTTCAAATATAAATAATTATCGGTATCGGCCGAATTTTTTTTATTAGTTACGAATTTTCTGCCAGTTATTTGCATCCCTATCTAAAATAAATAACATTTTGTTGACTACTGTTGGCTGAATGCAAAAGGAACTCCTCTCTGAAGTGTTTGTAATATGAGGAAGGTTTTGAGGTGGCACTTTATATGCGTGTGTGTGTGTGTGTGTGTGTGTGTAATCACTTTTGATTCTCTCTCTAAACAAAGACACTTGTATAGCAAAGGAAGCTGTATCAACTTCCTCTCTGAAACACTGAGCCAAGCCAACTCAACGCTCTCGACTGTCAGAAACAAGAAGTGGAGTAATGAGGAATAAGAAGTGCAGTAGTCTTATTTCTAGAAGGGCTCACAGGTCAGATCGTCCTGTGACATTCATGCTCTGTTGTGGTTTGATACGGAAACGAAAGTCGCGATTGTTACGACGCAGCTGCTTCTTTATTAGGCGATGTTGAGTTGCTGACTCAGGAAAACCGCTGGTTTTGTGACAATGTCTATCAAAAACACACTGAGCTCTGAAACAGCAAACACTGCAGCCCATTATAAACTCCTCCATTTCATATAGACCGTTAGATATAAACAACGAGGTTATTTAATAATCTGAAAATGCTACTACAGTATATTATCAGAATAACAGAGATTGTTGAAGATTTCTCATAACTTTTCTTTATTTTCTTAAAGCCTTGTTTATTTATGGGATTACATAGGATTTTAAAGTCTACATTTTGGACCCAACTGTAGATATATTAATACAATTTAGTGACAGAAAAAAATAGATTAAAAACATTTCTGTTTACTGGTCACGCACGAACAATATGATGTCAATAATCTCAAAATTGCCAAATATCAACCATTTATTTGCCCTGTTATATGTTTAATGGCGCAAAACACCATAAATCTGAAGTATACAACCATAACTACCATTCAGAATATGGGGTCAGGAAGATTTTTTAATGTTTTTGAAAGAAGTCTCTTCTGCTCACCAAGGCTGCATTTATTTGATTAAAAATACAGTAAAATCAGTAATATTGTGAAATATTATTACAATGTCAAATATCTGTTTTCTATGTGAATATATAGTAAAGTGTAATTTATTTCTGTGATCAAAGCTGAATTTTCAGCATCATTACTCCAGTCTTCAGTGTCACATGATCCTTCAGAAATCACTCTAATATGATGATTTGATGCTCATGAAACATTTCTGATTATTATCAATGTTGAAAACAGTTGTGCTGCTTCATTTTTTGTGTGTGTGTGGAAACAGTGTAACATTCTTTTTAGGTTTCTTATTTATTTGAAATAGTAAAGGCATTGTTACAATATTCTGTCAATAAAAGATCAAAATCTTACTGACCCAAAACTTTTGAATGCTATTGCACGTTATTTTTTCCCCATTTGCGAAACTCAAGTGTCTGTATTGGTGTAATTTCTCCCAAATGATGTCAGATCTCTGGGTAGGATGATGATGTGTAATTAATGTAGGTCGTTTATAATCACTCTTAATTTCTAAAGCGGTTTTGATCCAACTCGAGAGGAGAACTGATCTCGTCCTCAGTCTCACTTCTGTAAAATAAATGAAACTCAAATGCTTGAAGGCACAAAGCTACAGGACTTTGATCTGGCATAAACCTGTCAAACATTAATATTGTTTCCGTATGACGAGAAGATCCATATAGCAACTGTAGAAGGAAGTGTCTTACTGATCTCTATACAGTTGGCCTTGACACTTTTTGCATTGACATTCAACTGCTTCTGATGTGAATCTTGCATGTAAACCCGGGTCACAAATAGTGGGCAGGGATTACCCAACCCAGCATCCATATATGGACAAAGATTACAGGAAAATAAGGAGGTAGGAGTGTTTCAAGATAAGTGCACTTCTCCAAGCCCATGTTATCCAAAAAGTTGTGATGCTTCTGAACTGATCTCATATGAGCAAAGCAGGTCAAAGCACGTGCATCTAACATGAACTTTCCTTCATGTTTTTTTTTGGCCTAAAAGCAACAGTGAGAGGAAATCATTTCTGGATGATTCAGTGTGTGAATGCTTGATGGGTTCACAGGAATAAAGTGCAGTGATCTCAAGAACATCATGTTAATGATCCAAATGAGCAGTTACGATGATTTATGATGGTGATAAACACAAAAAAGGGCGTTTAAGAAGCCAAAGCAGACGCTAACAAGCTAAACATGAGGATGTCAGTGAGTGTAACGGAGACTCGACCGTTGAGTCGCTGCTACTCACCAGTTAGTCTCAGACTTCTCATCCACAACCTCGTTATAGGCCGCGGTAAGAGCCGGGCCGTTTTTGCTCAGGTTCACCGCCATGATGGGTCGATCTGTGGGGGTTTAACCGTCCGACTCCGGGGACAGGAGACTCAGTGAACTCCAGTAACGGTAGATGGGGATCTTTCTCTCGGTTCTCAGTAGACAGGAAGCTCGCAGAGCCACATCACGTACTAGCTCACTCCTCCCTGGAGAGACGTTAATTTACGAACCCTACTATGGTTAAGGCGGAGCTCATGAATATTCATGACGCAAAGTGAGGTTCGCCCAATAAGCGTTGCTGATTTGCTGCAGAGCTGACGCTGGAATGTGGGCGAACGTCTTCACTTTTGATCAATAAAATATCAAAATCTTACTGACCCCAAACGTTGATTTTTCCCTATTTGTGAAACTCAAGTGTCTGTATTACATTAGTGTAAATTTTCCCAAATTATGACAGTTCTCTGGGTAGGATTATGATGATGTCATTTATAATGACTGTTCATTTCTAAAGCGTTCATGGTCCAACTCGAGCAGCGAACTGATCTCGTACTCATTCTCACTTAAAATAAATAATACAAACCCTACTATTGTCATTGGTCAAGGCAGATCTCATGAATATTCATGACGCAAAGTGAGGTTCGCCCAATAAGCGTTGGTGATTTGCTGCAGAGCTGACGCTGGAATGTGGGCGAACGTCTGCTGGCGAATGATGACTCGCCTTAATATGAATATTAATTAGGAAATGCGACTTCTGAATGTTACCAGGCAACGTTAAAATTACACATTTGCTAAGCCTTTGTCATAGTAGAAGTTTTAAATGAAGAGACATGCGGCAACGACATCTGCCGGCCAGACATGAAAGTCGCACGTGGACACCTTTATTAATCCCCCTGTGGTGAAAATCAAGATTTTAATGTTGTTTACATCTATGTGGTGTTTTTTTGTATATTCTTTAAGACAAACCATGTGCAAATTCATAAGTCGACAGCATTGCTGAGTATTTTCTGCTTAAAACTGCAGTGAACCAAAGACAGTCTCAAAAACACGGATTGAAATCGCTGGTGTTTCTGACGTCACAAACTACCTTGTAACCAATCAGATCAACGTGTGATGTCAACCAGTGGATCTCTGAGCTGCTGTGAGTGGGCTCATTTGCATATTGAATTTCACGTTTAAATATGTCATTTTGGTGACCAAAGATGAGTTTTAAGGTATAAAATTATTGATACAGGGGGACTTTAAAGGAATAGTTCATCCAAAAAAAAAAAAAGATCCCATAATTGACTCACTCTCAAGCCATCCTAGGTGTTATTAAATCCTAATTATATTAAAAAAAATATCCTGGCTCTTCCAAGCTTTATAATGGGAGTGAATAGTAACTGAGATTTTGAAGCCCCAAAAAAGCGCATCCATCCATCATAACAATAATCCATACGACTCCAGCAGGAGTTAATAAAGGCCTTCTGAAGTGAAGCGGTGATTTTTTTTTGTAAGAAAAATATCCATATTTATAACTTTAAGAGTAAATGATGGGATTGTGGGTGAACTATTCCTTTAAGGTAATTTTTTTAAGGGAAAGTATAATGACAAAAATACCATATTGATACAAAACGTACACGTCTCAGAACAAGCTTCATTTTCTATTGTGTAAAATAATCAAATTTATTAATAGCAGTAAAAAAAGAAAAAAGGGTGAAATATATATGACCTGGACATGTTTTTGTGAGATTTACCCTCCTATACATTCTGTCAATGAACAGTGCAGTAATATCTGGTGTTCATACAATAAATCCAAGAGATACATTAAACAAAAGGAGCTTTATTCACTAAAGTTGACACCTTGGAGGTTAGTCTCAGCTGTACCGAGTCTGATTTCACGAGGAGAGAGCTGGTTAGATGACAGGGTTAAACAGTTAGCAAGGAGAGGTCATTATGGCTCTGTGTACGTGTGTGTATGTGATACACAAAGTAGTACAGTACCAATCCACAGTTAAAACACAAAGGAAACAGTACAGTACAGTTGCTTATACATTGATGGTTAAGGCTAAGGTTTTATTGAGGGTCTCGGGGGAAGGTGCGAGAATGGAAAAAGATCCCTGATATCTTGCAAATAGCTGCGGAAAAAGGTTGAAGCCTATCAGAGTGCAAAGCATGCTATACTGCCTTACTGTAGCACAATCTCAAAACTTCTGACTCCAGGACGACTGCATTGGAGATGAGGACAAATAAATAGCAAATAAATAAACAAACGTAACATTCTACAAGCGGATGCACAACCAGTGAGCCACGTTTAGTAGTGAAAAGTTGGCATAAAACCTTACATTCCATTCAATTTAAGAGAAAAGGAAAGGAAAACTCTGTCAAATTACGCAACCATCATGTTTCGTGTTCCACAAAAGGAGACGTTAAGCAGAATGTCCAAGCTGCTCATTTCCATACGATGAAAGCAAATGGTGACCAGACACGATTTTCAATAAATATTAGTTTGGAATAACATAATTTATGGCACTTTTTGAAAGTTTCATTGAATGGAAATGAATGGTGTTTTACAGAAGAGGGTTTGGGAAAACATGAGGGCGAGTAACTGACTGCAGAGCTCACATTTTATCCCTTTAAAAGCACATCCACAAGACACAAGTATCATTTCCCTTGGTGATAGTATACACATATGGTGCTAAATATAATCATGGCGATATTTAGCCCTCTTCAGGGAGTGTTGAGCCATGGGCTTGTGAAGAGCAGCACCAGAAAGTGATGGTGAGGAGATCTTCAGTTCACACTTTCTTTCCCAACAAGAGAGCGCGCGTTTGAGACGACGAGACTTCCCAATCCCAGTGCAGACGAGCGATTACATATTATCTTTCATTCTGCTCCGTGTAAACATCTTGATCATCCACCTCGAAATAGGCAGCCATGAGTTGATGAGCGTGTTTTTAGAAAACAAATTCTTTACAATAAAAGTACTTCAGTCCAGCACCTGTGCCGGTCGTACATCAAACGTACCATCTACTCTGTCACAAGTTAGTAATATTAGTGAGTACATGAACAAGAGTATCTAAAGATTGTTAAGGATTACACTCTTGTAGACGGATAAATGCTAAAAAGCCGGAAAATATTGCATTCATACGCTATGACGTGCCCTTTGCCTGCAAATTTGAAAGGGGCATAATTACATTTGGCAAAAATGGTGGTGGCATTTCTTTTTTTTCTTTTTTTTTTTTTTACACACAGTCATTTTCAGCATTTTTGCTCCCTCTTTTTTTCTGCAAGCAAATTGGGTGAAGTATAAAAATCTGCCTTGATTCCTAAAGCAACTTTACAATACTTATCAAAACAAATACTTACACATCTGTCATATCATGCACATGCGGCTGAGGTGAGTTAAAGTTAGCGGGCGTTCGCACGGGACAAGCTCTCGCGATAAAAGCAAGAGCTTTCTGCTCATTTAGGGAATATGCGTGTCCGTATGTAAATATGCTCGACTTCCCCAGGGTTCATCTTCATCTGCTCGAAACACACGATCAGAGATCAGTGTTTACACAGAGCATCAACAGCACAAAGTGAACGCAAGAACATGTCCTGTGTGAACGGCCACCTTGATTCTGTAAAACGTCATTCTAGATTAAATTAGGAATATGTCAAAAGGAGATATGATTATTTCGAAATAATACATAAAAAAACAGTTCATGTCGAATAAATAATAACACCGTGTCCTAGTGAGACGTGACGCTGCAACGCAAGATAAAAGCATTGTAGCTTTCCATCCTGAAAGGCAATTTATTTTTTATTTATTTTTTACAATATGGATTATATTTCTGCGACGTTGCGATTGACAACTCGATCATCTCAGGGACTTCCTAAGTTACAGAAAAATTTATGAATTTCACATGCGGAATATGTGTTTTGTACAATATTAAAATGTTTAATTTGTGATTGGATATCATGTTTTGTTTGACTTTCCCCTATTAAAACAAACTATACCAAAATCTATTTTAAATACATTTATTTCATACCGAGTATACTTCAAATCCATTAACATATTTATTGACATTTAATATTATAATTAAACTTTATTTGGAGTGCTTATTTATTGCACAATCCATGTTTCTTATTATTATGCTCAAAATGTGTTCTAATATAATTATTGGTAAAGATAGTATGATCACTATATACAGGTGATATCGTGCAAAAGTTAATAAACTAATATATTATATAGACTCATTACATGCAAAGTGAGATATTTCAAGCCTTTATTTGTTATAATTTTGATGATTATGGCTTACAGCTTATGAAAACCCCAAATTCAAAATTAGAATATTGTGAAAAGGTTTTCATAAGCTGTAAGCCATAATCATCAAAATTATAGCAAATAAAGGCTTGAAATATCTCACTTTGCATGTAATGAGTCTATATAATATATTAGTTTCACCTTTTAAGTTGAATTACAGAAATAAATTGCACGATATTCTCATTTTTTCTAGTTTCACCTGTAATATCAGTCTTTAAATGCAAGATATTGAAAGTGAACCTACTTGCAATAGTTCCACTTTAGCACAATCAAATATACTTCAGTATATCATTAGATGAAGTTCAGCACGATTTCTGGATAACTAAACTAAATAAGTTGTTCCAATTTAGCAGACTTTAAGTATATCGTTTTAGTATACCATTAAGAGGGTATTAAGTACATAAATGTGTAAATGTATTTGTAGTATACTACGCATAAAAAAATGCATTTCAAAATACATTTTAGTATATTTCTTTTTCACTAGGATGTCTCGTTCACTCGGATGTACGTCATTGCTTGCGTCGCACGAGCGCCCACTACTGGCGGAACCCTTGAAATGTGTTTAAATGTAACGGACTGTTGCATTGTGGTCTATGGAGGGTAAAGGGTTAAGATTATCGCATCATGTCTGTTTAGGACACCATGTTATGTTTCATTCTTTTTTTTTAGAGATGTAGACTCACTTGACTATTTTTATGACCTCCATTTAAAAAATCAAATAAAATCACATTTGCTCATTAGGGACACCATCTTTTCCTAATCACATTCATAGTGTTTTATGGAGTAACCAAAATGGCAGGAAGTTGGAAGGCAGACACTACACTAAGGTTTTCTGTCAGATTTTTTACATTCTATCGCAAACTGTTTAAGAATGGAAAAGTGTGTTGAGTTTTACGTACACTCACAACAGGATTGTGAACCGGCTCAGACACGATCAAGCGTGTGTCACCGGCCTTTCAACTTACTCCCAACGTTTCCTCATTCGGAAAAAACATCACAATGACAAACGATGATGACGAGTAACACTGAGAAAATCACAATGACAGTAATAATAGAACTAACAGTAGTACAAGTCTAACTTCCTGGGTTGTGGTACCCCGAGGTTTGTCCGGTTTTACAGTTTTCCTGGAGTTTTCCAGGCTAATCCGTTCAGACGGCGGGTTTAGGAGAACGGCACATGACAGCGGATTCGGCTCATAGTGGCTCTCACCTCCGCTTTCTGATTCCCTTCCAAGGGTCTGTTGTTTAGTTGTCCCCTCCCCTCAACATTTACTTATTTTTACTCCTCTTGTTACAAGTAAAAACGTGTTTCTCTGTCCGTTTGATTCTGTAGTGTTTTACTCGCAGGCACTCTCACATGGCGTACTTTTGCGTCCATTCTCTCGCTAGTCTGTTGTACCTGCGAGAAAAGAAAGGACACACTCTTATGACAGTTCTACGTTAAGAGGAAACACAAAAAGGGTGAAGGTTATCGCAAAGGTTTACTAGCTTTTTGAAATCCAGAATTCAGTTTATTTGCTGGTTTTTGTCTTTATTGTCCCACATATTTGTATTAATACACATAAACAATCAATTTAGACAAACATAAAATCACATCCATCACTTAATACAATCCACTCATACTCATCATCACTGAGACCGACTCATTTTTACTCTGTGAAACAAAAATGGAGCCTCTCTTTCATTAAAAAACTGCGGCAAGAAGGATTGTTTTCCCCTATTTTTAGATAATACTGGCATCCTGTGACCTGAAGGTTACAGCTCAAACCCTTCGGACAATGTGGGCCTGTGATACGAAACGATTTGTGGCTTCACTAAGAGATTTAGTTTGGCAAACTTTTTTCTAAACCTGTCAAGGAACTTCCTCGTAAGGCTGGATAAATTGAGAATCACTATTTTTTTGTTTTAAATAGACATCACGACTCTACCATGATTCTGAACAGAGAACTTAAAGGGATAGTTCACCCAAAAAAAAAAATTGTGTCATCATTTACTCTCCCTCAAGTCGTTTCAAACCAGCAAGACTTTCCTTCATCTTCGGATCGGATCACAAATGAAGATCTTTTTGATTAGATTTTTATTTGTGCTCAGAAGACAGTCTTACAGGTTTGAAACGACTTGAGGGCGAGTAAATTATGACAGAATTTTCATTTTTGGGTGAACTATCCCTTTAATTTATAAGAGGATCAGGCACATTGTTAATTGCTGCAATCTGTTTTAAAATCTTGAATTAAAATATGAATTCTTTTTATTGTTTTGAATATATGATTCAATGACTCTCATAAATACTTGTTTCATTACTGGATAAATCAGCAAATCTCTTGAATGAATGATTCAATGACAAATAAATGAGTTTGTCCCTTATCGCCACCTACTGGTGTAACGATGTAATCGACACCATCGTTATCAAGTTACCTCATAAAGGGCCTGTTCACATATCGCGTCTTTTGCGCGCTCAAGTTCGTTATTTCAAATGTAGGCGCGCGGTAGAGGCTGACATTTTTTCGGGAATCACTATGCATCACGGGATTGGGACGGGAAAGGAAAAAATGTCAGCGGGAGTGGGCGGGACCGGGAATCGTAATAAAACTATGATACCCAACTTTATACACAAATATAAAGTTTCTATAAATAAACTCTATATTTAAATTTTGAACTAAATTCTATTTGCCCCGTCTCTTTATGCTCTCCTGTTTGCTTTGGTGTGGCTGGTAAAGTGAATGACGTGCTCCACAGTGAGCGGCGCTTGAGCAGCGCGTCAGCGTAACTACATCGTCACTGCCGCTGCAGACGCGCGAGAGTATTCACACTGTACAGTGTCACAGCAGCGGCTCCATAAGCGAGCAATTCTTTACAAAGAAGTTTTAGAAGTTGGTAATTTATAAAATTGATAGTCTTGAAAGTTTGTTAAGGGGAGGTGTACAACATTCGCATATAAATGTAAAACAAAACAACCCAGAAAACAGCTCCAATCCATTCGTTTCAGTCATACTTTCGATATGTTTACAAGACTACAAAACACACACACAAAAAACCGCACACTTGGGTTTAATTTGGGTTGTAGCTGTCTGTGTTACATAAACTAAAAGAAAGTTTATATATAATATTTTCTGGCTAGTTTACTTTAGTTTTTTTTATATATAATACACCATTAAAATATATATATATATAAAATAAATATAATACACCATTATATTTATTTTAAATATAATATATATTTATATAATACATATTCACCCAAATGAATAATTAAAAACAAGTTTAAACAGCCTAATCTTCTATAGACCTAACTGTTTTTTAGTCTTCATTTTCTTTTTTTGCCTTCTCAAGTTCTTGTTAAAACTCACTGGACATGCTTATTCTGTGCATTTTGGGCACTTTTTGTGTGAAATTTTGTCTATCAGAGAGGAGCTTCAGTGTTGCGGGAAGATTAATTGAGGAAAGGCGCACCAGCCTCAGTCCGGAATGTGTGGACACACTCTTGTTCTTACATAGCAACAGTGAGACTCATTCTCAAAGGAAACTCAATCTCAAGAGGGAAATCTTAGTTCAAGAAGGAAATTTGGATTTTGTTTAAATTTTGTTCTTTCAGTTCAATAAAGTAACAAACTGTGCTATGCACATATCTAAACTGTATTTTTTTTACTGTAACTGACAGATTACGGTAAAAAAAAACACAACACGGGAGTGGGAGGGAATAGGAGTCATTCTTCTGGGATTGGGACGGGATTGGATGTTTTTTCGTGGGAGTGGGACGGGAGAGGTTTGAAAATCCACTCCCGTGTCACCCTCTAGCGCGCGCTCGTTTTTTCCAAGTGCGTCCGCGCCGCATCGAGATAAAAACATCTCAACTTTTCAGAATGCCGCAAGCGCACCGTAAGTAGGTCACGTGACAAGAACCGACCGGAGCACAACCGTCCTAGCACTTTGGAAAAAGGAGAACGCGGCGCGCCCAGCGTTTTCTACGTGTTTTAGGCGCTATATGTGAATGGCGCCTAAAAGTGATTTACTGTTTTGATCGCTCCGTCACTCATTGTTTACACAGACATTTCGGAAGTGTTACCTTTCACTGTGAAGGTCTAAACATATTTAGATATATCGAAATCGTCTTCCATTGCGATTTCCAGTATGTCAACAGACAACGTTGAATTTTTTTGTGTTTTTTTTGAAGAGATCACTTCCGGCGCTTGCGCAGACCGAAGCGCCCGCGCCCTCAGATCACTTGGACGTGGCTGTGGTTACAAGAGGGAAAAACGATATAAATACTGTTCGTTTTCTCACACAAACTGCTCGTTTCGTGTCTTAGGCCATCAATGTGTACTTACATTTACGAGTCATTAAATCATGTTTAATTTGGACTTCTCTGTGCATGCTCTTTGAGGTGGTGACCATAGACCTGCATTATATGACTGACAGACAAGAACGGTTTGACCTAAAAATATCAAAATTAAAACTACTGCGAAAACAAAGACACCTACATCTTGGATGCCCTTGAGGTAAGCTAAAACATACCAAAAATTAATTTCAAAGTGAACTATCCCTTTAAAAAACAGAAAATCATCACAAGCAACGAAGTACTATACAACATACGTCCAATTAATTCTATACATTCATAGAATTAATTGGATTTTCCAATAAACACAAACTATTTTAATGCATTTTTGGGTCACTCACTTTTCTCTGTCTGCTTTATATGTATGTGCGATCTCAGGTACCAGCGGGTCATCTGGGTTCGGGTCACATAACAGGGAGCAGATGGACAACAAGACTAAAAAAAGGAAGGGAACACATTAAAAACACGATATAAAGCCAAAAGATCCTGATCATCTCTACTGTTGGAAAGCCTTGTGTTCATAGCAAGAAGAGCTTCTCCGGTGTTCTCTGTTTGTTTGTCATATAACAGTTTCCTGTGGAGTGATCCAAACTAGGTCACTTCTTAGAACAAAGATTAATCAGTGTAGTCTGACAGAGTAACCCACACGGGGCTCTATTAGACAGCAATGCCAAGGCTTTCCAGTACACAAAACAAACCTGTTTACAGCTGGTATTAAGATGTTTTGGTGATCGGATCACAAGTGGACTACTCTAAATACAGGAGTAAACGGGTTTAAACGCTTTGAGCTCGTCCAGTTTCCTCCACTCACAGAGTTAGTAGAAAACACATTCGACCGGATTGCTTTCGTAGTGTGAACGCTCATGTGATCGAATGTGTTCAAACAGCCACTAAAGGCCGTCTTCTCTCCGGCTACTGATGTAATGCGGGAACATTATGGGAAGAGCAATAGCCAGACGAGAGGAAAGTCCGCTAGTTCACTTACTTTGGTCCGGACCAAATAAAATGTTGATTTTTTGTTTGTTTGGTTCACTGCCCTTTTTGCAAGTTACCCAAATGTGTAACAAAACCACACGTGTGCTAAGCTCATCCATTCATTGGACAGAAATTCTCAAGCAGGGAAAAGCAGGAAGTGCAAAAAGCAGGGAAAAGCAGGAAGTGCAAAAACAGGCAATTTATGAAGATATTTATAGTGCAATTTTTATTCTTTTACTGATTTGGTGTCATCAGCTACTAACGCAATATGAAGAAACTTATGAGCATCATATGATACAATGTCATATATACAATGTTGTAATTCGGATTTTGCGAAGACGAATATGTGCTGCATGACGGTTGTGGCGGAGAGAGCATGCTCTCAACTGATAAAGTTAAAGCTGCAGTCCGGCGTTTTTCCTCTTTGTCGCCATCTCTGTTCGAAATCTGCAATTGCAGTCATTCGCGGAATTATCAACTTTACGTGGGTTGTGCTTCAACACCCTCGACACGGCACCGCGCGGATGAACACAATGTTTGAGGAGAGTGTGCGGCTGTCAGTCACCGCGCCGGTGTCGATACTGGCATTCACAATCACAGATTATTCTTTTTGGAAGAATGACCAACATACGAATTTTCACTGGAAAATGTCATCTGAACTAGTAAGAAACATCCACTTTTGTTCTGGTTCTGACATTGCAGTAAATCGCGGTGATTAAATCCATCAATCGCTTATAAGTTATCGATCACGCAAAACCGTGCAAATTATACTTTGTTCTCAAATTGTTAAATGTTAACAACGTAAGCAAGCATTGCAGGACTACATGTAATGTCCTTCCGATATTATCCTTGTTTTCGCATGGGCCGGTTGCAATCTCTTCTTTTCTGTCGCCACTCCGAAGTCCGAACGAAGTCTTGTGCATTTTACAGCGGGTGAGTCTCCAGTTGTCTGATGATCGTCGTTTGAACCTTTCTGGATCCGCCATCAAATTGATAAGTTTAATTATATCAAGTGCTGTGAGAAAAGGCTATAAATCTCCACCTCCAGCATCCTCACACTATAGCCTACTAGCCGAGACTCTTCTTTATGTGTACAGATGTGTGTGTACAGATGTGTGTGTACAGATGTGACGTAATGACGCAAAAACATGCTCGAATCTCCCGCGGATATCCACCAGTACCACTAGAATTAAAAACATTATTACAAGCTTACCGCTTTGAATCGAGCTACGGCAAGCAGAGCGTTTTGAACACTGGCTGGTTATGTATTTTCTCAAATATGTATTTTGGATCATTTTTAACCCAAAAAAAGCTACGGACTGCAGCTTTAAGGGTGCAGACCACATTTCTATGAGGCTCCGCCCTTCTCACAGCTGCCGTGCTAAAAGTGCAAACTGTCAACAAACATTTCTCCTCATCCCATAATGCACAGCGCAGCTGACTACGGCAGCTGGTTTAGTCCAAAAATGCGCAGTTCTTTGGCGATTGGGTCTGTTCGATGTCGGATCACGTTCTCACCACAAACAAACTGCTCCAGAGTTCGTTTCAAAGCGTACCGACGCTTGTTTGGTGCGCACCCGAGTGCGATCGCTGCATTCACACCGGCCCAAACGAACCGCACCAAGGGGGACAACGAACTCTAGTGCGATTCAACCGAACTAAATGAGGCAGGTGTGAAAGCACCCTAAAACTGTCGACTGAAGACCCAAGTTTGGGTTGAAGATGAAAAACGTACCAAGCTCAATGTTCTCTCTCCATTCCTGATGTCTAACACACTCACACACACACAGTGTTCGGCTGATCTCGCGTCTGTCAGAGCAGAAACTGAAGCTGATGCTCTCCGTGTGTCTCCGGTCACGTTCATATGTAAATTGCGTGAGCTTATTTTGTTCATTAGATTGAAAGATCTGCGCAAACCCCAACATTTACTCCCCCATAGACCCTCCGCTCGAAGAAATCAGGACAGAAGTGTTTGAAAGTGGACAGAAGAGACAGATTAAAACACCAGGTGTAAACGGGAATGTGTCTCTCGTCCACTTGTGATCCGATCAACCAAAAGCGCATCTTAATACCAAGCAGGGTCTCAGTGTCTGTCCAAAAAATGCTCAAGCCACATGAGAATTTTATAATTCGGAAATGATAATGATCATCTGTTAGTTTTCCTGAACAAGAGAGCATGTACTGTATGCTATGTTAAAACTTGGTAATATAATTAAATAATGTTTAAAGAATATTTAAAAACAAAACTTTTTAACTTTTTGTCACATTATTTTCACTAATACATCTTGTCGTAGTAATATGTTCATATAGCAAAAAAAGTATTGCAGATGAAGTCCTAAAAAAATGCATTCTACCATTCAATAATACATAATTTATTCCATGCAATTTTAGAGTGCTTTTGTTCCCAATAGCAGCACAGCTGATGTTCAGACCAACATCATCCTTATGTGAAATTGCTTGATCATATCACAATTTATTATATATAGTTATTATATGAGGTTTCCAAAAAGTAGCATGGTATTAACATGGCATTAGACTTACAGTTAGTGGCAAATAAATAAATTCAAAATAAATTCAAAGTGATTGTTTCAAGCATCGAGACGTTGCCGGAAACTTACCTTTGGATACAGTAAGTGCAGGAGACCACTGAGATCGCAGGATGTCCAGACAAATACTGCCATTACTGTTAATATTGGGGTGGTAGATTTTTGTTGTAAATGCGACCTGTCAATCAAGGTATTGATCACAGCATTACAAACCAATACATACATTTGCATTAGTGGTGGAACAGATCACAAAATTCACGGTTTTTGAGCCACGGATCGGATCATTTTTCGAATCAGCAAAAAAAATTAATAATAATAATATATATATATATATATATATATAGATATATTTAAGCAATAAGGTACGAGAGGCTGTGCTGTATCATGAATAAGTCACAAAATAAGTAAAAAAAATATGTATTAGTGCAACTTTCATGAAATCACTACAAGCCTTCTTTCCGCTAGAAAAAAATAGTCCCTGATCGTGAACAGCAACAACATTTTTAGGGGTGTCACGATTCTCCAAATTTTCGATTCTAAGGTCATGGTTTTTAATTTATTTTATTAATTTATTTTTTAATTTATTGATTTATTATTATTATTATTTTAAAAACATTGCCATTGTTTAATTGTTGCTTCTTTTTTTTTTTTATATTATTTTATTATTATTTTTATTATTTTCATCATCTTTTGTACTATTACTGTTTAATTAACAGGTTATAATCAAACTAAGGCAGATTGTTTTGGGTTGGTTGGGGTGTAAAAAAATACAATCTCTGTACAAACAATAGCATTTGTCTTTGAAAAAAAAAAAAAATATATATATATATATTTATATAATAAAAAAATAAAATGTGTAAATTGACAAGACAAAACACGTTCAAATGATAAACTTTCCCTCTATGATGGTTAAACTTAGCAGTTAATCCGCGAATCACATGCGTGCCGATCCGTGAGGATCAACCGCGATCCGTTCCACCCCTAATTTGCATACGACTAATGGTCTCCAAACACAATGAATCGCACAAAGCAACTCACCTTTGGTGGTTTAAACGGGTAGTCTGTGGGGAAATGAATCGTGAGGAAGAAAACCCCTCCTTGATATGGACTGTCATTCTGAAAAACAAGGACAGTTTACTAATGCATGTTTCATAGCCAACAGTTCTGTTATAAGGAGACAACTGGACAGAGTTGATTTACATACAGAAGTGTTAAAGGAACAGTAACAATGGTATTAGTGTAATATAGATATAGAATATAGATAAGAATAAAACTGTAAAGATTGGTGAGTGTAAATTTTACTGAAGTGGAGATTTCTGGCTCAATGTAGGAGGAAAAACTCATTTTGAGAAAACGGCCTTTAACGATATACACCGTATACACTGAAATCTACATAAAGTGCTCTAAAATATACAGTTAACAGTGTATTTTGGATGTTTTCTGTCCACTAGTCTGAAAAAACTCTTTATGAAAAGCCAAAAATCTCAAAATTGACAGATGCATGAAAAAAACTACAGTTGTGTCTGGCCTTAATATGTTATAGACTGATAACTACACACATATATTATATAAACACTAACTTTTAAGTTAGATGTGATTAATCGCAATTAATCGACTTGACAGCACGAATAACCAAAATACCAATAATTATTCCCATCCAAAAATATGATGCGGGACTTAATTACAAGCAAGGCCGAAATACACTGGGACTCTTGTTTTGAAATGTCTACGCTTTACTACTACAGCTGCTCATTAAAAAAGATGAGATATTAAATATGCACAATCATCTGCAACATATTACAATATAAAAGCCATGAAGTAACATTGTCATAACTCAATCAACAGAATCATAAGCCATCGTTTCACATGGCAAATGTGTGGAATTCATTGATTGCAAATGTTTCTAAAGTCACTATTCTGTGAAACGAACAACAGCGCCGCGTTTTGACCTTAAATATTTATTGAATTAAATCATCACCTTTTGAGGTTTAACAATCACATTAGGCTGTGTCGCGTTTCCGGTTTTCCGTCTATGAATGTACACATTTCCTCTGTTACACATTTTAAGATATTTAGGACTTTTTATAGCCTTAAATTTGGTCAAACTGAACTTCTTAAGGACCCTGAATGGAAAGATTTTACAAATGTTTTAAGTCTACTGGTTTTTCCAGGTCTAGAAATCACATTTCACGACTGTGGGAACCCTGTAATTCGAAAAGGATAAGACAGCTACTCACCGGCCCCATTATTGTTGCCTGCCAGTGAAACACTGGAAAACATGAATCATGACATTAAAACAGAGTAAAAACTGATCCGATCATGTGTGCTGAGAATGCCAGTCAGTGTTACACAATAACACATGTGAATATCTTTGTATTTAAACTGTAATCTGATAGTAGGGATGCACGATATATCGGCCACCATTTCGGTATCCGTCGATATATGTTCATTTTTGTTCATTTTATCGACCCGATATATTAAAGCTGATAAATAATGGATTATTTCCTTCAGCTGAGACGCTTCAGATGTGCACTGTTCAACATGATGGATTTGAATTGCTTGATTTATGATTGAAATCACTTCAAAAAAGGAAAATACAGTTCAGTGGAACATTTGACGTCTGTCATATCGGCTACATAAAATTATCATGAGAACATTGTAATTGTGTTTGGGACATAGCTTTTAATTTTTGGTTCTCAAAAATTATATAAAACTTTGGATTTGGATTTATCAGCCAATATATCGGTTATCGGCTTTCAAATATAAAGAATTATTGGCCAAAAATGTTCATATCAGTGCATCTCTATCCAGTAGTTAGGCCCCATCCACACTACGTTTTAGTTTAGAAACGGAGACCTTTTGCTACGTTTGCACCTCCCGTCCAGACTAAAACGGCAAAAATGAAGACCTAAAACGGAGAAGTTTAGAAACGCTGCACGTTTTGTGTTTTGAATCTCCGGAGGGCGTTTTAGTGAAGACGGGTCAAAACGGAGGATTTTAGAAACGATGACATAGTAGAGGCTCACACTCGGCTTTCTGATTGGGTGTCATCAGTCATGGCGTATCCTTCCCTGATTCGTCAGCCACCCATCACATGACCCGTCCCCGGAAGAAAACATACAGCAACAGCCTGGACTACCAGTTACGTTAGTGACTGCAACATGGATAACGAATTACAAGCGTTACTGACTCTGATGTCTTTGCTAGCGGCTGTTGTGCAAGTAACTTCGGCATTTTACAATGCTATAACTGCCTATATGCGGCGGAGGCAAGCTATTATTCCAGCGATCTGTGACAATTCCCGTGTGCAGCGGCGGTATCGCCCGTACATGGAGCGCCGCTCTTTGTAGAGGTAACTTAGCTACTTTCTTCTTCGTCAAATCTGAGGAATAGTCAATCTGTGTCCTGTTTACGCCGGCACGCGCACGCCCAGTGTTGGTGAATGATCACGTGATCCGCGTTTTCAGTCGTTTTAAAGGGTTAGTTCACCCAAAAATGAATATGATGTCATTAGTGACTCTCCCTCATGTCGTCCCAAGCCCGTAAGACCTCCGTTCATCTTCAGAACACAGTTTAAGATATTTTAGATTTAGCCCGAGAGCTTTCTGTCCCTCCATTGTAAATGTATGTACGGTATACTGTCCTTGTCCAGAAAGGAAATAAAGACATCAAAGTAGTCCATGTGACATCAGTGGGTTAGCTAGAGTGTGTTGAAGCATCGAAAATACATTTTGAACAGAACAACAGAACCGGAAGACAATACAATGCTGAATAAAGTCGTAGTTTTTGTTATTTTTGGACCAAAATGTATTTTCGATGCTTCAACACATTCTAACTAACCCACTGATGTCACATGGACTACTTTGATGATGTCTTTATTCCCTTTCTGGACAAGGACAGTATACCGTACATACATTTCCAATGGAGGGACAGAAAGCTCTCGGACTAAATCTAAAATATCTTAAACTGTGTTCTGAAGATGAACGGAGGTCTGACGGGCTTGGGACGACACGAGGGAGAGTCATTAATGACATCATTTTAATTTTTGGGTGAACTAACCCTTTAATGTGGACGGAGATCGTATTCGTTTTAATTCTCCGTTTCTAAACTAAAACGCAGTAGTGTGGATGGGGCCTCCGACATTATCCTTCACTCGTTCCTGATATACTCACAGTCCTCTCCGACCGGACCCGCTGAACACTGGGCTGGTGGATCTCTCTGCAGGTCTGTCAGTTCCTGAGGGGAAAACATAATCTGAATTTAAGTGGCCATTTCATGTAAAACAACATTTCTGGAGCAGGAAACTTTGTATTTGTAAGTGTACGTCATGGAAAATTGATAAGAGTAACATGAAAACAAAGGATTCCTGTCCCGATCAAAACTTCATCAGCACTAGGATACTAAACGCTTTCTAAAAACAGAGTTCGGCTCATGTTAGTGTAATGTGGTTGCCAACACATATTCCTGATGCTTCGGCTCTGAGGTTTGTTGCCGTATGGAGATGTGGATCATTTCAGCAGCTCTGCCAGCGCAAGCGACACTATGACAGTCATCTCACTCTAGCAACTCGGTCTGAGAATGAAATATGAATGAATATAACTGAAAATATCAGGGTGTTACAGAAATATCAGTTGTGGAAAACAACTTCTTTGAAAAGATTATTTAAACTCAAAATGTAATAGAGGTAAAAGTGTATAATTCACCAACATCAAAATATATATATATATTTTATTATGTTTTGCATTAAGGCAAAAATATTGTAATACAATTATTCAAGATAATACCCAAGTTTGGGTCAGTTTTTTTTTTTTTTTTTTTAAATAACTGTTTTCTATGTGAATATATAGTGTAATTAAAGTGAACGTTCAGCATCATTACTCCAGTCTTCAGTGTCACATGATCCTTCAGAAATCACTCTAATATGATGATTTGATGCTCCAGAAACATTTCTGAGTATTATCAATGTTGAAAACAGTTGCGCTGCTTCATATCTTTGTGGAAACTGTGATTCAGGATTCTTTGATCAACAGAAAGTAAAAAAAAACAGCATTTATTTGAAATGGAAATCTTGTGTAACATTTTAAACATCTTTACCGTCACTTTTGGTCATTTTAATGCGCCTTTGCTGAATAAAAGTACTACTAAAAAAATTTATAAAAAACCACGTACGGACCTAAAACCTTAAACTTTTGAACAGTACTGTAAATATACACTTTACATTTTGATTTTTATTATTTTATTTCCTTTTAGTTTTGGGGTAAATTTGGAGCTAAAAATATGTTGTTAACATGTTTCATGAGTTAACCCAAATTATTTTAATTAATACTTCAATAATGTTAAATCAGCGCTGGCATTTGCACAGTTTCTCGATTTCTTAAACCTGTCCTTTAACGATAACGTTAGGGGTGGGCGATATGACCAAAATCAGAATTATGAAATTTCAATGGTATGAAAAATGTATATCATAACCTTATTTAAAGCAAAAATAACTAGTCTATATCGCGATATGAGTCATTTTATTTCACGGTAACGATATATATATCACGATATAGGCTAGTTATTTTTGCTTTAAAAATAAGGTTATGATATCAATCTCTCATACCATTGAAATTTCATAATTCTTATCACCATTATCAATATCATTAAAAACTAATACCATCCTAAAAACTCTCAAGCGTACTGAAGACAAGTAAACAGTGATAAAGAAAGAGCAAAGAAAACAAACTATAATTGAACAGACACAAATGAAAAATGAACCTAACTGAAAACCTTCAAGCACTAGAAATAAGAAATACTCCATAAATGTATAAAGTAATCAAAGGTATAAAAAAACAATGGATAGACTATCCATTTTGGACTCTTTAATGTGTAAATTAAATTAAATACATTAATGTTAAAGTCTGATATTAATGTTCGGACACTGTCACTTTAAGACCGACTGGACGGATCCAATATACTTGTGCTTTATTTTCCTTCTTAACTGTTTACATTCACTTAAGACATAAATTACTTGCAAAAACATGGTCACTTTGACACGTAAGTACACGTGAAACTCGAAAAATTTGAATATGGTGCAAAAGTTCTTTTATTTTATGAAACTAATAAATTATATAGACTCATTACATGCAAAGTGAGATATTTCAAGCCTTTATTTGTTATAATTTTGATGATTATGGCTTACAGATATGAAAACCCCAAATTCAAAATTAGATTATTGTGTAAAGGTTTTTATATCTGCAATCCATAATCATCACAATTATAACAAATAAAGGCTTGAAATATCTCACTTTGCATGTAATGAGTCTATATAATATTTTAGTTTCAGACAGTGCTGAGAAACAGTCTCTACGTGTACTGAAATTAGTTGTCTTTTGCTGCTAATTGTGCTTCAACGGTTTGAAATCACCTGTTTTTAAACCGCAATGCTTAAAAACACATGCAACCGATACACTTTCATGACCGCCAGGCACAGCAACATCACATGAGCGTAACCGCGATAGAGACGATAGTTCAAAATCTCTACCGGATGTCAAGCGTCTACCGGTTAATCGTGTTCACCGGTATATCGCCCATTCCTAGATAATGCAAGCACTGACTGGATTATAAAGTCCCCCTTTAGCCAATTATTTTATCCCTTAAAACTCCTTTTTGCTCACCAAAATTACATATTTAAATGTTTTTACCTTGAAAAAAATGATTCATGAATTAAAATATCTTGAATGTAACTCGACACCCTTGCCTCGTTTAGAATACGAGGTTCTATGAATATGCAAATGAGCCCCGCCTCCACTCACTCACTCAGCTCAGAGATCCACTGGTTGACGATCACACGTTGATCTGATTGGTTACAAGGTCGTTTGTGACGTCAGAAACACCAGCGATTTCAAACCGTGTTTTTGAGACTGTCTTTGGTTCACTGCAGTTTTAAGGAGAAAATACTCAGCAATGCTGTCGACTTATGAACTTACACATGGTGTGCCTTAAAGCATATTAAAAACACCACACAGACACATAAACAACATTAAAAGCTGGGTTTTCAGTGTCATGTTTGTCTGCCATGCATCTTCTCTCCTGAGGTTTTCTAGTTTTGATGCACCGTTTGTAATGCCGGGTCAAGGCGTATGTGTGTGTACAGTAACTGTTCGGGATCATTCATCAGAAATCTCTCATATCTCGTCCTCATATTCTCCTCTTGTATTGCTAGAAGTTACTGTGTAACTCAGTGCCTGAAAAGGCCTGTCTAAAGATAGACTAGAGCCGTCAGCTGCTCGCCACCAACACTTTCAATACTATAACCATCATCAGCACACTTAAAGAAACACATAAGTGCCTCTGATGGGTCAGTCCATATCTAACCTTGAACACAACAGCAGAAGAACAATAAATGGCTTTAAATGACATTACTGCAAGAATTAAAGAACGCACTGCTGCAACTATCCATATCTCATAGAACTAACTATTAGTTCTATGAGAACCGTGAACAATAACTTTATTAAAGGTATCATTACTGCCTTTTTTTATTTATAATGTTCGCTGATGTCCAATTATAATGTTAAAGACTTTTAAACCAAAAAACATCCTAATTTAGAAGCAATAAGCTCTTTTCTCTCCTGTTTTTGACCCTTTCTATCAAACACTGCGATGATTGGGCGACAGGTTTGCATATTAAAATAAAATAAATAGAAAAATATCTTGTTATATAATTGAAACATTTGCCAACGAAAGGTAAACAAAGTATTACATATACTTTATAAGTCTTGGTTTTGAGAAATAAAAAGTTTAAAGGTATAGTTCACCCAAAAATGAAAATTTGGTCATCATTTACTCTCCCTCATGTTGTTCCAAACCTGAATAAATGTCTTTCTTCTGCTGAACAAAAAAAGTTAATATTTTGAAGAATGTCGGTAACAAAACAGATATTGGACCCCATTGACTTCCATATTATTTTTCTTCCATTCTATGGAAGTCAATGGGGTCCAACAACTGTTTGCTTACCCATCTTTTTAAAAATATATATTTTTTGTGTGTTCAGCAGAAGAAAGAAACTCAGTCAGATTTGGACCAACTTGACGGCGATTGAATGACAGAATATATATTTGGGTGAACTATCCCGTTAAGTACTGAGTTACCACAGTTATAATTGACAGAAGATGACGTACGATGTTTCCTGTAAACGGAAGTATGACTGTACGTACCATTGTTTGTCGCATTGTCGTTCTTACATTGTTCATCATTTTCGATAAAGTGAAAAACTTTGTCATTTGCAGTGTCATGTTGATCAAATGAACCGTGTTGCAATGTCTTACTGATGACAAAACAGATGTTTTATTCGGGATTAGCCTACAGCAAATTGCTTCAATCAAAACAATAACAAAAGCAGCGCTTTGTTATGTATCCGATATTCCGACGCATTAACCCCATAAATGCCGAAAGAACAGCAAATCACAACTATTCATTCTGCAGATCTGATCTGTTTGCGTGTCTCCGTCTCGTATTTACTACTACATGACATGCACGAATCAGTGGCTAAAGAGGAAATTATGTAAAAGTAGGCCACGTTTCTGAGCTTGGTTTCAATAAAAGCTGTTTTTGGACTAACTAGGACGTTTTGAGTTCTGAAACTTACTTAGTACAATTACCTTGTATGTCAAAAGATAGGGATGCACGATATTGGATTTTGGCCGATATTCGATATGCCGATATTTTCAAACTAATTTTGCCCGATACCGATATATTTGTATTTTTTTAAGTGCAAAAAAATCTTATTAAAGCTTCTATTAAAGTTCTCAGTCAAGAGCAGTGAGTGATTTCCTCTGTGTTTTGTTGTTTTATTAACATTAACGGGATAGTTCTCCCAAAAATTTAAATTGTCATTTACTCTCTCAAGTTTCTTTCTTCTGTTGAAAATAAAAGTTATTTGGAAGAATGTGGCTAACCAAACAGTTGCTGTACTTCAGTGACTTCCATAGTATATTTAAGCGCAAGAAAGAAATGAATACAGGTTTGGAACAACATTAGAGTGAGTAAATAATGAGAGAATTTTTATTTCTGGGTGCAGTATCTCTTTAAGGACAAGCGACAGCATATTATTACTGTCTTTAAAGGGTCACTCCACCCATTTCAACATTAATCTTTATTGAAAGTGGGTTATATATGTAGTCGAAATGTAAAAGAAATTTTAAATTTGGTGCCCTCTTGACCGAGAAAAGACAGAAAATAACTTTGGGGCGCATTTGTATGTAAGACAACAACTCCCACAATGCACCATGTTGCACAGCTCCGCAAGCCACTCCCACTAATCCAGAACAGCGCAAACATCAGAGAAATCGCTCTTCCGTCTACAAGAAGGCTAGCTGCCAAATGAGTTTAAAATTCATTTCACAAAAAATGTCTAGTTAGTTGTGGCGAGCAGGACGAGGGCGAGGGACGTGAGAGGACGACGCGAGTGATAATGAATGACACCTGTGCAGCGGTCTCATATCTCTCACGGAGGAGCGGAAGCACAAAAGGAACAGGCCTGATTTTATGTTTTGTTTCTGTTGTGTGTGGCCAGCTGGCTTATACTTTTGTTTTGTATTTGTTTATTTTACTATTAAAACGTTTAAATGTTCGCCGGTTCCAGCCTCCTTCTTCCCACAACAACGAACCCCGTTACATTGGCAAACTCATTAGTGAATTACTCGTTTGTATTTCTTTCTATATGGTGAATTATTGCATGATACCTGCATGTTCAGTCAGGCGAAACTAGGATGGTTCACATCACAACACAAACGTCCGTGTGGTCGTCTGATTCAGAGATTTCGTCCAGGAGAAACTGCCTTGTTGAAATTCTCTGCAGCAGACGGACTCTATCTGTGTCCGTAGCGCACAGCGAGAGCACACGCACCAGCAGTCCGCCCAGCTCAAGCCAGCCCGGGCTCCTCGTCCGCGACAGGCAGCCGCCTCCTGTTCCACCATCAGCCTCAGCTGCTCTTCACTATATTGCGGCTCGTAAAGATAGCCACGAACAGCGGATTCGAGCAGCAGAATTTCAAAATCCTCTTCTTCCATATCATGTTTAGTTTCTTCCGTCATTGTCGTAACTTCCTATATCCACAGCGCTTGTTAGCTTAGCTTATAAACAAGATGGCTGATATTGCTTTCAGTATCTGCAAGTGAAGTCCCACCCACTGATCTGTGATAGCTCTGTTAGCGCATTAGGTCCAACCCCCTATGGGCGGGTTTGAAAGGGTGGGAATTTGTGCTTGTAGTCTATACAGAAATCCCCCCTTTTTACACTTCCTCCTACAATGACGTCAAATGACGATTTTTGCGTCATTGTAGGAGGAAGTGAAAAAGGTAAATAGTAGATTTCTCTCGTCTCAGGGGAAAATGAAAGAATGTTGCACGACCATTCAATAGTATGACTGGTTGTCTAACAATGGACCTCTTAATGCAAATGGGTGGAGTGTCCCTTTAAGAACTGCACGCGACGCGTCTAATATACACGCATTTGACAAGCAGATTTTCTGTTTGCTTTCACTTTAGACATAACCAACTTTGTTTATGTAAACCTTGTGTGTATTTGACAGTATCAGCGCAATAAGACTGGAAAGATTAGTCCAGTATGCAGGCGCTGTGACAGGCTTTTAGTTCCTGTGAGCGTCGGGTGTAACGCGCTCAGAAAAGCGGATGTTAGAACAGCGCATCAGCACGTGAATGATATGTTTACCTAGCAAGACTTTGACGCACATGCAAATAATGAACTTTTGTGAATTGCGGTGTCCCGTGAGTGTAACTCTACCTCTGTGTTTACATGTGATGTGATGTGATGTGAATGTACGTCGCGTTGTACAGTATGTTGAGATGAAGGCGCCAGAATTGAACTGATAGAATGCACGATACTATGATTTTTCTTCAAAAGCAGATCGTGGAGACATTTTAATCGTCCACGATCAAAAACCGTGAGACGCACGGCACACCCCTAGTTGGAAGTTTAAGTTGCTGGCGCTCATGCTTCGTTCACGGTCGTCACGTGCGCATAGGAACACGCCACCCTATCGGCAAGGCTCATCGGCAGAAATATTCATATCGGCCAATGCCGATGATGGTCATTTTAAGCTTTTATCGGCCGATACCAATATTGTCCCGATATCATCGTGCATCCCTATAAAAAGATCAAGGAAAATTTGATTTCTCAATTCCTGACCTCTTTAATACATTAAATTGACTAGACATGATTCATACATTACAAACGGACCACAGCTTTAACAAATACATTTTTTATCAGAAAAAGACTATTCTCAATTTAAGAAAATTATGAAAGATTATATAATAATTCTATAAACCTGCAATACAGCATATTGGTATATCGTTACTTATCGTCACTTACACTTAGCAAAAGCAAAGAAATGCAGTCTCAGTTTTCTTAAACGTTAGAGTCCATAGTATCAATCAACATAATGCCTGTATTAATATAATTAGATTATTTTGCTTACATGATTAAATACACGTTAAAAGGTTGTTTGTTTCTGATAGCCTGGAGTCTGGATATGATCATTGCACAAGTGTGATGCTTAATAAATGTCCTCTGACAGGATCAACACAACACACCACATACTGTGTTACATATGTGCCGCTTTTAAAGGGGGCGGAGCTTCTGCCGTCTATTTCTGATCTGTTGTTGTCACTCTCTCTTCACCCCTGGTTGATGTAACATGACATTTGGAAAAAGTTAAATGTCTGATATGTATCATTAGTCTGTGCACATTTAATAAAGTATCTAAAAACGTGCATTCAACATTTTTATGATCATTTTGCAGTGCCTCTCAGATCTTAAAGTCCCCCTGTAGTCAATAATTGTATCCCTTAAAACTCATCTTGATCACCAAAATTGCATATTTAAATGTTTTTTTCCTTAATGCCTTGAAATAGCATGAATGTAACTCGACACCCTTGCCTCATTTAGTATTTGCGGTTCTATGAATATGCAAATGAGCCCCGCCTCCACTTACTCACTCAGCTCAGAGATCCACTGGTTGTCGATCACACGTTGATCTGATTGGTTACAAGGTAGTTTGTGACGTCAGAAACACCAGCGATTTCAAACCGTGTTTTTGAGACTGTCTTTGGTTCACTGCAGTTTTAAGCAGAAAATACTCAGCAATGCTGTCGACTTATAAATTTGCACATGGTTTGCTTAAAGCATATTAAAAACACCACATAGACACATAAACAACATTAAAAGCTGGATTTTCACCACAGGGGGACTTTAAGATCCTTTCTGGTACTAAAAATGTCAGAGCTGTAATTTAATTTCTGCCTAAAAATAAAAGCATGTGTGAGTTCATAAGAACAACACCATAACGGCGAGTAAATACAGAATTTTTATTCTTATAATAAGTGATTATGGAATCATTTGAAATCAAAACACTGTGATTTTTCTATCTGTGATTAAAGTAGTTATCCGAACGGGGTGGCGAATCTGTTAAAAATACCCTCCGCTGTCCTAGTGCCCTATTTGCCGAGCCATATATGGACACACTGACATTGGGGTTCAGCATTTGGCAACTTGAAAGCGGTTGTCGCCCATCACGCATGCGCACCAGTGGCGCTTCTCTCATTCATGATGACAGACAACAGAAAAGATAAATTTTAACGATGTTTAGTTCTCCACCGAACTTACATGCCACAAATCATTCATAACAACACCTGAAAACCCCCATAAACGTGTGTTTTATGCCCACAGTTCCTTCTGCTACAACATCACACATCGACAATAGACGTTGTCGATCACATATTGCGCAAAACAAACACTCGTAATCAGCAGTATCGAAGTATCAGTGACTGTTTATAACATAATGCCCGTGAATCTGTAACGAACAGAACGAGAACAAGCGTCTGTCGACTGCATACATCCACCATTGGCCATCCGTCTTTGTCTTGACCAGATGGGGATAAAATGAGGAAAGTGCGAGTGCTTTACATTCACAACAGCGTTAGAAGATGACGATGAGGACATTGACAGAGGCTGTGAGGTTATGCGATCCACACAATGAACACAAACTCACCTTTTGGATTCTTTTCAACGCCATTTGCTCGCTGTATTACAGCACAGTGTCTGTTTGATCTAGTTCAGATACTGTTGGCCTGTACAGTTTGGATGAGAACGCGGTTGTTGTTGTTTTTTCCTCTCAGTGTCACACGTTAGGTACGTAATAACACAAAAGCACAGATTTGGACATTCACACTGCTGTATAAACGGCAGTCGCCGATTTGAGGAATTCTTACCCCCTCTAACCTCACTGACAGTTTTTAGTGCTGTACTAGACAGCAGGAAGGTAATCTCGCGAGACAACGCAACGTATTTTAGATATTATCGCGATACTAGAGCGTGCGTGTTAGAGAGGGGATCTTGGGAAATGTAGTTCTGTTGGCGTTACGTGCTAATTTTGCATAAAGGATGTGACAGAAGAAAATTATGATCGAAGATTAATATAAATCTACACCTTAATCATTCTACTTCACTTCTATAATATTAGCTAAGTTTTAGTTTAGCTTACAATAGTTAGCTTAGCTTAGTAGTTTAGCTTACAATAGTTTTCGTGGTAACACTTTACAATAAGGTTCATTAGTTAGCATTAGTTCGTGGTGTATTTACTAACATGAACTAACAATGACCATTGCATTTGTTACAGTATTTATTAATGTTTGTTAATGTTAGTTAATAAAAATCCAGCTGTTCATTATTTGTTCATGTTAGTTCACAGAGCATTAACTAATGTTAACAAATACAACCTTGTTGAAAATAATATGACCTATAAGATGAATAAATACTAAAGAAGTATTGTTCATTCTTAGTTCATGTTAACTAAGGTAGTTAACTAATGTTAATTAATGAACCTAATTGTAAAGTGTTACCGTTACTGTGTTATTTACTTACACTAACATGCCTTTTATAACTTAGAATAGACTCTAAATTATATTTTGAATACACGCGTATCTGTTCTTATTTTCCCTAATAGGGTATACGTAACTTACTAGGTAAATCCCTGAAAATGTGTAGTAAGTTTTGAAAGTCCATCCAATGTATCGCTTTGCTGTCTCTATCCACAAGATGGCGCTGTTTGACTATTTAAATGGTGGATAATCCAAAGTATTTATTTTCTTTAACACAAGCAAAAAGCGCGGGACAACACTGTGTGTGTGTGTGTGTGTGTGTGTGTGTGTGTGTGTGTGTGTGTGTGTGTGTGTGCTGGGTAGGCCTACATAAAAACAAGATGTTAGGGGGGTAGTAGGAGGCTACACTTAATATTAAGCTACATGTAAATATGAAGATACGCTCTGACTGATTTTAAATCATAATTTTGGTCACCCCTGAAATGGGTCATATCCATAGACTGTAAAAAAAAAAAACATTAATGCGGATTCAGGGACATGCGTTTATTGCTTTGACTTGATTTGTTTCAGGGAAGTCATCATATAAATGTGAATTTCACAAAATGGCCAGGTCATATTTCACCCCACAATAAAAAAAGAGAGAAAGAAGAAATTATACATATATTTATATATAATATATATCATTATATATTTATAATGATATATATCATATAATTAGATCATTTAAATATATAAATATACATTTCCACATATATTTAAAATATACATATATTTATACATATATTTTTACATTATCTTCATGGCAATTATGCAGTTTCCTTAATTTTCTCAATATTCCACCAATAATTTCTTATTGTAACAGTATTTTTCTTACAATGAAAACAATATTGTTACAAGCAACACACACACACACACACATATTGTTACGGTACACGGTGGTAGGAAGCACGAGGAGACGAAGAATAGAAGTAAACAGGATTTAATTCCAAACTCAGGACAACACTGTAACTTTACACACCAAACACAAACGTACATACGAACGAGAACCGACCAGGAGTGAGGGAGAACACAGGGTTTACATACACAGAGAACAGATGAAACAAGGCACAGCTGGGGCAAATGAACTAGACACAGGTGAAATAAACTAAACACTAACGAGGAGCGGGAAACTGGAAACAGGACTGAACCAAATACACAAAGAACAGGGGAAACACAGGACATACATGTAACATTAGCTCCCCCTCCTGCAAGGCGCGTCCTCGCGCCGAGTAACATCAATAAGGGTGGGGGGGTGGGCGCCCTGGAGGCTGACGAGGGAGTGGCCTACCCGGAGCAGGAAGCCTCCAGGGCGGAGCAGGATATGCAGGAGGCCAGGGCGGAGCAGGACGTGCAGGAGGCCAGGGCGGAGACTTTCCCTCGGGTGGCCAGGGTGGAGACTTTCCCTCGGGTGGCCAGGGTGGAGACTTTCCCTCGGGTGGCCAGGGTGGAGAGGCCACTTCAGGTGGCCAGGGTGGAGAGGCCACTTCAGGTGGCCAGGGTGGAGAGGCCACTTCAGGTGGCCAGGGTGGATACTGTCCCTCGGGTGGCTTATATCCCCCCCCCAAAATTTTCTTGGGGGGAGTGACGGGTTCAGAGACAGGCTTGGGGGAACTGGACGGGACCAGCGGAGAAGGCACGGGAGGACTGGACGGGACCAGCGGAGAAGGCTCGGGAGGACTGGACGGGACCAGCGGAGAAGGCTCGGGAGGACTGGACGGGACCAGCAGAGAAGGCTCGGGAGGACTGGACGGGACCAGCGGAGAAGGCACGGGAGGACTGGACGGGACCAGCGGAGAAGGCTCGGGAGGACTGGACGGGACCAGCGGAGAAGGCTCGGGAGGACTGGACGGGACCAGCGGAGAAGGCTCTGGCTCGGCAGGCGCGCAGGGAAGCTCCGGCTCGGCAGGGCTGCAGGGAAGCTCCGGCTCGGCAGGCGCGCAGGGAAGCTCCGGCTCGGCAGGCGCGCAGGGAAGCTCAGGCTCGGCAGGGCTGCAGGGAAGCTCCGGCTCGGCAGGGCTGCAGGGAAGCTCAGGCTCGGCAGGGCTGCTCAGGCTCGGCAGGGCTGCAGGGAAGCTCAGGCTCGGCAGGGCTGCAGGGAAGCTCAGGCTCGGCAGGGCTGCAGGGAAGCTCAGGCTCGGCAGGGCTGCAGGGAAGCTCAGGCTCGGCAGGGCTGCAGGGAAGCTCAGGCTCGGCAGGGCTGCAGGGAAGCTCAGGCTCGGCAGGGCTGCAGGGAAGCTCAGGCTCGGCAGGGCTGCAGGGAAGCTCCGGCTCGGCAGGGCTGCAGGGAAGCTCAGGCTCGGCAGGGCTGCAGGGAAGCTCAGGCTCGGCAGGGCTGCAGGGAAGCTCAGGCTCGGCAGGGCTGCAGGGAAGCTCCGGCTCGGCAGGGCTGCAGGGAAGCTCAGGCTCGGCAGGGCTGCAGGGAAGCTCAGGCTCGGCAGGGCTGCAGGGAAGCTCAGGCTCGGCAGGGCTGCAGGGAACCAGCTGTGAAGGCTCGGCTGGGCTGGACGGAACCAGCTGTGAAGGCTCGGCTGGGCTGGACGGAACCAGCGGTGCGGGCTTGGCTGGGCTGGACGGAACCAGCGGTGCGGGCTTGGCTGGGCTGGACGGAACCAGCGGTGCGGACACGGCGTGCCATGGGAGAAAGCTCTCCAGACATCTGGAGAGTGCCTCTCTCCAGTCCAGACCAGAGAGATCTGGAAGTTCCCTTGGGTCGACCACCTTGGCCCCTCGCCGGTAACACGCCTTGATTATCTCATCGCCCAGCGAGCAGGAGGCAGCGAGTGGAACAAAGCCCCAGGTAAAGTGGAACAGATCACGGCTATCCAGCGCCAAAGCCGTAATCTGTCCCGCGAGCTCCCAGATCTCCATCTTCCTCTTCTTTTCTTTTCCTTTTCCTTTTTGGTCGGTTCTTCTGTTACGGTACACGGTGGTAGGAAGCACGAGGAGACGAAGAATAGAAGTAAACAGGATTTAATTCCAAACTCAGGACAACACTGTAACTTTACACACCAAACACAAACGTACATACGAACGAGAACCGACCAGGAGTGAGGGAGAACACAGGGTTTACATACACAGAGAACAGATTAGGGAAACAAGGCACAGCTGGGGCAAATGAACTAGACACAGGTGAAATAAACTAAACACTAACGAGGAGCGGGAAACTGGAAACAGGACTGAACCAAATACACAAAGAACGGGGGAAACACAGGACATACATGTAACACATATGACACAAATTGAGAATTTGTAATTCTCTGTAAGTGTAAAAAAAGATGTCATGAAGAACATAATCTATAAACTGCATATACACAGTTAAGTGATAACATTTGCCCTCTTTAATGCTGTTAAACAGAACGTAGCAAACTGATATATGATGGCCATAGCAATTGTAACAATGGAACTGTTTTGTTTCATTATTGTGTAACTGTTTAAATTTCACTTAGTAAAGCCTATAATTTAATGCTTTTAAATAGCCAATAATAGGTAGGTTCCCTATGAAAGTTGAAAGTCTGGTTTCCCCCATTCATTTATTTATAAAGTAATGGGGGAAACCAGACTTTTTACAGAATAGGGGTCTGTTTTTGACGGAGCATTTGTGGTTAGAAAGTGTGTCTGCATCCAATTTTGGCAAATTATTGGTAAATTTACAGTGGGTTATATTAACATTTCGTACTGGTCAATACTACAGAATCAGTTTCTTTATGTCTGCCATGTGCATGAGTAGGCTATCAGAGGCCTTGATGAATAGTGTAAAAAATTGCATTGTGTTGTATTTCGTCTCAGGTTTATCCAATATAACTGTGACACTAATGGCTTCTCTGTCAGCCTGAAGCAAGTCATGATCTCTCGGAGTGAATTTTATTCCAGCTGCTTAACATTGACAGCTCCTCTCCTGTAAAGCTGCCCCTATTGTGTGGTTAAAGTGAGCCATGCAGGGTTTATTGCTGCTTTAACAATGAGAAACTCTCCTAAAATCAAACAATGTGAATAAACGGCCTCACAAATGTTATGTTTATAATATATATGGTATGAGTTGTTTTTTTTGTTCACTCATAAAACATATTTATTTGATCTTGAATGCTGATTGGTCAATGTGTGCCAAATACAGTTGCTTAAAATAATATTTCGGATTCGGTACAGTCTAAATAAGACGTAATAATAGTTATATTTAGGATCATATCGTCCTGAATAGTTTAATGCTAAAATGGTTCTTTGAAGTTTGGGTTCTTTATTCCCGCCCTTTTGTATTTTAAATCTCTAACTGTCAAAATCGACCTTTTTCACAGACTGTGATGTCGCGTTTTAACGGTCTTCAGCATCATAAATCAATCCTGCAAAGTTTTTTATATCTTTTTTTTTTTTTTAATGTATGTAGCCTACATTTATAACAATATAGGGCTATTAAATTGCTTT